CTCAATGGCCAGAGCTGAGCTGAAGCCAGGAACCAGGAGCCAGAAGCTTCTTTCAGGTTTCCCACATGGGTATAAGGGTCCAAGGTGTGTTCCATCATGCTGGGCAGATATGATGTTGGAATGTATATTGTTTAAACCATGAGAAGGAGAGATAGATACAGAGACAAAGAGAGAAAGAAGGAAAGAACAGACTCTGCTGCCTGGGCCTCCCCAAATGCTTGCAATGGCCCACGTGGGTGGAAGAAATGCAATCATTTAGTCATCACTGCTGCTTCCCAGGGTCTGCATTAGCAGGAAACTGGAATCTTAATCAGGAGCTGAAAATTAAACCAAGACACTCCAAAATAGGACGTGAGTGTCTTAACAGGTGGCCAAATGTTTGCCTCACTATCTTCTCCTTTTTCAAAATCTGGTAACGATGCACATTCTTGAAGACAGAGTGAAGGGAGGCTTGATGAATTGTGACTCTGCCTCCCCTTCCAGGTTTAGGTCTGTAAGATCTGCACATTATAGGTGACCCACCAGTCTGTGGGCTTGGCAATAGCTCACACACTACTACCGCATACTAATGCGTGATAAACTGAGTTTATGAGCAATTTACTCTCACTCTTAAGTGGCATTTCTTCAGCCTATTTTCTTTGCAGCTGCTCCCCTTCAATTTATGATCCTGCAATTGTCAGAGCTGCTGCTAATCTGTCTGACCTTTTCTCCAGATTACTAGTAGCAGCAGTTGGCCTAGGACATGCTGATCATATTTTCAGCATCCTGCCAGATCACAGTGACAAGCGTGGCTTTCTGGACTGCTCCTGGCATGGGGCTCCTCCTTATCCAGCTTTTGGCCAGCCTCAATGTCTGTCAGTTCCAGGAGAGGTGTTGAAGGATTGTGACAAATGCCTGCCCTGGCAGGTGCAGCATGCCCTGGCTAGCTTGGGAGCAGAGGGTACTAACAGCTGTGCTGTACACTGAGATGGCATCCATAGCTGCACTGACCCACCCGATGGGTGAGGCCTTCACAAATATCAGAAGGTTTGGGGAACTTTACTTCCAATTCATTGGTAGTGACAGAAAAAAATCTAAGGGAGAGCCAGACGAATTGGCTAACACTTATTTTTTTTTTCTTACTTATTTGAAAGGTATTGTCTTAGAAGGAAAGAGAGAGATCCACCCAGCACGATGGCTCAGTGGCTGAATTCTCATCTTGCATGCATTGGGATTCCAGTTTATGTTCCTGGCAGCTCCACTTCCCATCCAGCTCCCTGCTTGTGGCCTGGGAAAGTAGTCGGCCCAAGGCCTTGGGACCCTGCACCAGAGTGGGAGACACAAAGGAAGAGCCTGGCTCCTGGTTCCTGGCTCCTGGCTTCGGATTGGCTCAGCTGCAGTTGTTGTGGCCATTTGGGAAGTGAATCAAATGGAAGATCTTTCTGTGTCTCCTTTTGTCTGTAAATCTGCCTTTCTAATATAAATAAATAATTTTTTTAATGGTCAGATATAATGTTGAAACGTGCTTGGATGTATGAAGACTTTCAGTCTACCTTAGGGAAAAGGGAAATATAGTATTTGTTACACAGAAGCAGGGTGATATCCAGGCCCAGTCTGGTCAGCAGCGTTCTTAGGAACCCAGCACTCTTTCAGGCTTCTCATTCTTACCGTATTCAACTTGAGTGTCATCCTAACACCAGTTCAATTGGCTTTTCCCCTCATGGTTCCAAGCTGATTTCCGCTGGGGATGCCAGTGGCAATCAGAATTACAAGAGTCCTTCATCACTACAGGCAGGTGAAAATCTGTGTCTTCATGGGATCAGCCCCAAGCTTGACTTAGTTTTTTGACTTGGCCCACTTTGACTAACATTGGAGGCCATGCGAGTGCTGTTCCAACAGGCTCAGACCTGCTGTGCCCAATATGTAAGTTGGCAGCCATGAAAGGATACTGAGCATTTGCAATGTCATTGGTCTCCATGCATTGTGAGTGTAAAATATGTATTAAATTATATGTGCATAGAAAACAAATATTAAGATTTATTTTATTTATTTGAAAGGCAGAGTTGCAGAGAGAGAGAAGGAGAAACATGAGTCTGTAACATGGGTGCGGAGGCCTGTGCACTTGGGCCATCTTTCACTACTTTCCAGGTGGAGAGTTGGATTGGCAGTGGAGCAGCCAGGACTCAAATTTGCCCCCATATGGGATTCTGGCACTGCAGACAGCAGCTTAATCTACTGTACCACAACACTGGTACCTGATATGTCTCTCTAATGTTTTTTAGTACCACATTCCTGTATGTGGTAGTAGTGTGAGCTACTGCCAAGCCCACAGACTGGTGGGTCACCTATAATGTGCAGATCTTACAGACCTAAACCTGGAAGGGGAGGCAGAGTCACAATTCATCAAGCCTCCCTTCACTCTGTCTTCAAGAATGTGCATCGCTACCAGATTTTGAAAAAGGAGAAGATAGTGGGGCAAACATTTGTCCATCATTCGGTTGGAATGATATCATTTAGCTGTATCAGATTAAGTAAAATTTATTATTAAAAATAATCTTACATGCTTTTTTGTACTTTTTAAATGTGGCTTGCTTTTTTTCCTTCTGTTGATAGCATCACCTTGCCCAAGCAACCTCTATTTCCAGAATAGGAGATTTTATATATATATATATATATATAAAACTATTTAGATAATATATTTAGAAAGCCTTGTATTTTAGAGAAACTCAACGCATTATAATTCTTTTCAACAAGAAGACAGATAAAGGGCAAACAATGTGGGGCTATACAGTGTCTGAGACTATTTATGTGAACATGTGTGGTGCTAAGTGCTATGGGGAAAGGACACTGCAGAGTGGGGAAGCTCAGACGTGCCGCCCACGAGCGGTGCAGACAGAGGCTGTAGGACCCGGGCTCGGGAGCCACTCTGTTTTCTCTGAGAGCAGAGTGCCGCTCTGGCCTGGGCCTGAGAGGCAGGTGGGGTTTTAACAAAGAAGGCAGGTAGAGAAGGTCACCAGGAGGCCATACTGAAAAGGCACGGGGAAAAAAAATGCTGGGGCAGGAAATTCTAATCTGGAGTTTTAATTTAGCTGAAGCTTAGGGTTAGAGAGGAAGAACAGTGTGTCACCCTGCTGACGGGCTCACAGCACTGGACGAGTCCTAGCAGCAGCTTGGTCCTGGGGTATCTGATGGAAACATTTATGGAAGGTCTGGATACAGTACGACACACCTCCTGATGCTTGAGCAAGTCAACCTACCCAAGTCCACCCACACCTCCATCACCCATAGGGAGCATGTGCAGATCCTGACAGTGCTGGACAGCATGCAGCTTGGGGTTTAGTCCCACCTATGCAGTTTGAGATTTTTTTTGGGGGGGGGGGTGGTGATTTATTTGATCCTACCTGTCTCAGTGTCCCTGTCTGTAAAATGGGAGTGACAACAGCCTCTACTTCGTGGAGTTCGGAGGATTAAATCATTCTGCATATCTGCAGCTCTTCGAACTGGGATAAGAGCTTAAACTTTGGTCTGTTATTGCTAGCAGGTCAGCTTGGAAGCTGTAATCGGAAACTGTCTAGGTTAGGACAGGCTGGCAGTGAGGCCAGCATCACGTCGCCTGCGGCGCTCGCTAACAAACCCGGCTCTGCTGATGTCCACAGGAGCTGATCTCCCGGTGTTTCACAGCAGCAGAGCGGCATGCGCCAATCAAATCTAAGTATTCCTAACAATACAGGGTGTCTTTCAAAATGGAGTGTTGAATTGGGCTTTTTAAGATTTATTTATTTATTGGAAAGGGAGATTAACATTTTACACAGATTGCAGGACACTTCCCCAGGGCACACTTTACCACCGTTTCACTGAGTCTATCATTGAAATTTCCATCTTCACTTGGAGGGGAAGGAGGGCACGAGGAAAGGGTGTGAGAAGGGAGAAGGCAGATCCTCCATCCTGTTGCTCCCCAAATGACAGCAACAGCTGGGGCTGGGCCAGGAGGAAGCCAGAGGCCAGGATCTCCATCCTTGTCACCTGTATAGGGAACAGGGAACCAAGCCCTTGGACCGTGTTCTAGTATATGACCAGGCACACTAGCAGGAAGTTGTTGAGCAGGACTGATACGTGCCTGGGCACTCCCACAGGGGAGGCAAGTCTCCCAAGGGGTGGTTACCGGGCAGGGTCACAACCTCAGGCCAAAGGTTGACTTTGCCTTTTAAATTGCCCCTCTCTCTGCCTGCCTCCTCTCTCCCACCTTCCCTTTCACGGAGAGTGGGGAGGAGAGAATGCCTTCTGAATTTAAATCAAGAACTCAAGTCTCCCAGGTGAGCGTCTACTTGTATCTTAGCTTGCCTGAGACAGGTTTTCTGCTGTTGTCCAGGTACAATTGAGTTGCATTCTTTTCCCTCTAAAAAACATATTGGATGGTCACCCCTTCAACAGACTAAAGAGGCAAAAGATGGGCTTGGTTGTGTTAGTGTTCCAGGGGTTGAGGTATTAGTATTATGGGTGTTGGTGTATCCATGGAGGCAGGAAGAGATTTAGAGGGGCAACTTGTGGGCTTTCAAGCTGGCACAGAAGTGCCTTGGGCAGACTCCAGCTTTGTGAGCTGTGGGGTCAATCCCAGGTTACGGTCCTGGGGAAGGAGACAGGCTGGTGGGGCTTAGTGGAAGCTTGCCTTAGGCCTGTGCTCACCCCGCACAAATGCAGAAGCAACAGAACCATTAGGGTGCTCAGCGTTTGTATTGATTTTTTTGGTTGTTTCAGGATGTGAACAAGTCATTGGTTTACTGTAACATCATAGTGTACTGTTCCTCCTTACAGCACTGCATTTGTAGCTGTCAATTACAACAGCACATGCACAACGCACATTTCTCTGAGTTCTATTTAACAGTGGTAAATTCTTTTTATTGAGAATGACTTTTCCAATTTTCCAGAAGCCAGCACCCAAACCCAAGTATCAGTGGTATATTATTCTGCTTTGACATAGGTACAATATTTCAGATTCTCAAATACACACAAATATATATATAACACACACACATATATATTATATATTTGGCATGAAACAAGAAAATACTAGGGTTTAATACCACCCCAGGTCCCTAGCAATATTTGGAACTCTAACACTCATCACTGGGAGACAAATGTTGGCCGCACAGCATCCTTCTCCCTTTGAGGTTCCCTTTCTCCATCCTCTGCCGAAACCAGCAAGTCAAGCAGATCCACGCACTGTGTCTTGCTCACTCAGAAGTGGCAATCGCTCTGGAGGAAGAACAGACTCCAGTTTCTGCCAGCGCGCCGGCGGCCACAGGATATGCGTAGCGCGGGCGTGCAGAAGTCCCAGGGAAACCGGCCCAAAAGAATTACTGTCAAAACTGTGTCCATGATGATCACCTTCGACCCAGATGTGACCACGGGGCACTCTGACATACCGGTTTTTGTGTCCGATGGTTCTGATAATATCTCCTTCAAGAGCAATCACTCGCTTAATGATTTTCTGTTGTGGGTTTTTAGGAGACACCAACGACACAATGTCACCGCGCTGAACTTCGAAATTCCTCACTTTCCAATGGTTCAAAAGTACCACATCAGGTGACCGGCTCCCCCCAGGATTCAAAGAAGGTTGCATTGATGTGCCTTCCACTCTCGCCACGCAGGCAACTCGGTCCAGCAAAGTGACCGCCACGGGCACCGCCACGAAGAAGCCTTTGCAAAAGGCTGTGAGGTATCTTTTCACCCATGCTTGAGACTGGGCCATAACCCCTTCTCACGCTCTTCCTAGTTGAGAAAGGGGTAAGTGGTTAATTTGTGCCCTTGCCCGATGAGCCAAAATCCCCAAATCCCTCAGGTCTCTGAATTGATTTTGTAAAGCTGGTGGCGGCCCTCTGTTCTTCGAGAATGACTGAGCCCCACATAAGAAACCCCGAGCTCAACAGAGTCGTAACTGCATGATTGCATTTTTCACCTGACTCTCCTAGCTCCTAGTACCAGGTCAGGTCAGGCCAACTTCTTGCCTGAGCCTTGCTTGGTGCCAGGAGAGGAAACCGCATCCAGCGAGGTCCTAGGAGGCCTCCGCCTGCCACAGCAACGGCCTCAGGCCCTCCGCCGGGGACCGCGAGCTTTTTTCTTTTTTCGGTGAGTTAGGAAACCACGTGCAGGGCCCTCACCCCCCAGTCCCAGCCCCCACAGCGGGCGCGGCCAGAGTTCCGCCTCCTCTCCTCCCCTCCTCCGCCCCCACGCTTACTTGGTGGGGTCTCTTGGTTTCGGGGTTTCGGTCGTTCACGTCCCGGGTGAACGAGGCCCTGCACTTTTGCTTTGTTAGGTCTCAGCGTCCCTCACGGGGTTTTACAAAGTCCGCATAATTAAACGTGATCCGAAGAGCTGTGCTGCGGCATTTTAGGCTGCAGAGCAAGCCACGAGGTCTCAGGAGGTCACCTGTTGCCCAGCTGCTGCCCCCAGCGGCCGGGCGGCCCAGGGTGGCTCTCCATTGTCCCCAGGACGCGCAGGGCGCGCGGCCGAGCGCTTCGGCATTCCTCCAGATGCGCTCCCTCCCCGAGCGAGCGAGCTGAGCTGAGCTGAGCTGGCCGCCTTAGCAGTCATCTACCAGAAAAAAAGCAATCTGATCTTTGGTAGCCCCGCTTCCCTAGTCAGCTGCAAGATGAGTCAAACTCGCGTTTCCTGAGTTATAAATATTTGCCGAGCCCCACCCGGCTGAGAAATGCTCTCAGCTCGTGTTTCGCCCCCAGGTGACCCCTATCTGGAGCGTTTCTCTCGGTGTCCGGGGGAAAAATGATCGGGCGAATGAGTGCGGTGCATTCCAAACTGCTGAGAAGAGAGAGAGAGAGAGAGAGAGGCTTTAAATATCCGACTTTAAAATGCTGAAATCCTTCCGGTGCAAATTCCGTGCAGGAGGTGGCAGCGCTGAGTGTTTCTGGCAAGGCAAAAAGGGGCATTTGGCGAGTCGTGGGCTCACCGCCATATCAACAAGGGCCACTTTGTCGGCTGGAAACCACTTGACAGTCCTGTGCTGGCTCTACGGTAAAGTGTGAGGGGATGACCTGTACAGGGGGCTTAGAATTCCAGTCTTGGGGCTTCTGGGTTTGGGATTCCAAAGTTGCAGGCGAGAGAGGAGGGAACTGGATGGGGGAGGAGAGTTCTACTGCTGAATATGAACTCTTACATTAAAAAAAAAAAATCTGCCTCTTGTCCCTGTTTGTTTTTGGGAGGCAGACGGAGAGCCGCATTTGGTGGTCCACTCTCCGAGCGCTCAAGGCAGTTAGTTGGTCTAGTTAGCTGACAGGAACCCCAGTTACTTGAGCTCTCACTGCTGTTTTCCAGGGCCTGTAGGAACCAGGGGTGACACGGAGTTGAATCTAGGCACTTCGGTGTGGGGTACCAGCATCTTAACTGCTAGAACTAACCTCAGCTCTACTTATTTTAAGTTTCAAAAATCTAAGAAAAACACAAAGCAGAAGAAAACTATTCCGATATTATCTAGAAATAACGTTTTCATGAATGGATGCACATTTAACTCAAACAAAAAGAGTGTCCTAGCTGCTCCAGTTCTAACCCGGCTCCACTTCTAATCCACAAGGCCATCCTTATGGCCTGGAAAGGAAGCAGGACGGCCCTAATTCTTGGGATGCTTAACCAATATGGGAGACCCAGAAGAAGCTCCTTGGGATCAGCTCATCTCTGGCTGTTGTGGCCATTTGGGGAGTGAACCAGTGGATGGAAGATCTTTATTTCTGTATCTCCTTCTCTCTGGAAATCTTTTAAATAAAAATAAATCTTGGGCCCAGTATGATACCTTAGTGGTTAAAGTCCTCGCCTTGCACTCACCAGGATCCCATATGGTTGCCGGTTCTAATCCCAGTGGTCCGCTCCCTGCTTTGGCCTGGGAAAGCAGTCAAGGACGGCCCAAAGCTTTGGGACCCTGCACCCGTTTTGGAGACTCGGAGGAGCTCCTGGCTTTGGATTGGCTCAGCTCCAGCTGTTGTGGTCACTTGGGGAATGAACCGTCAGACAGAAAATCTTCCTCTTTGTCTCTCCTCCTCTGTGTATATTTGACTTTGTAATAAAAATAGATAAATCTTTAAAGAATATTTTAAAAAATAAATCTTAAAGAAAGAAGAAAAGGGCCTGGCATGAAAGAGTAGCGGCTAGAGTCCTTGCCTTGAATGTTCGGTTCTAATCCTGGCAGCCCCGTTTCCCATCCAGCTCCCTGCCTGAGGTCTGGGAAAGCAGTGGAGGGAGGCCCAAAGCCTTAGGACCCTGCAACCCGCGTAAGAGACCTGGAAGAGCTCCAGGCTCCTGGCTTTGGACTGGCTCAGCTCCAGCGATTATGCCGCTTGGGGAGTGAATCATCGGAGGGAAGATCTTCCTCTCTGTCTCTCCTCCTCTCTGTATATCTTACTGTAGATCACACTGTATATAATCTTTAAAAAAGAAGAAGAAAAAATGAAATCACTATACTTAAGACAGTTGAAAACTGAAGTCCATTCAAAATGCCTGTATAGGAATGATCAAAGAAGTATCATTTTGCAACTGCCAAAAATTAGAGGTGCCCAAATTGATGCATCAATAGATGGATGAATAAATACGAATGTCAGTTATTCAAGAACTGACAATAAAATTGGCAATGAAAAGGGATGAAGGATTACTAGGCTTTTAGATGGATGCTGAAGGTAGTATACCAGTCACAACAAACTGCATGTATCTGATTGCCTTTATATAAAATGTCTAGAAAAGATACATTTTGTAGAGGCAGAGAGCCCATTCCTGGCTGGCAAACTCTCACGGATATAGTGTTGCCTTTGGAGCGATGGTTACACTGAAAATCAAATAATTGTACAATGTAAAAATGTGAATTTTATGGTACATGAGATTTTGTCCCAATAAGTTATTCTGCCTAATTTTTATTTTTAAAATTATTATTATTATTATTTTAAAGATTTATTTTATTTTTATTGTAAAGTCAGATATACAGAGAGGAAGAGAGACAGAGAGGAAGATCTTCAGTCTGATGATTCACTCCCCAAGTGAGCGCAACGGGGCTGATGCTGTGCTGATCCAAAGCCAGGAACCAGGAGCTTTCTCCAGGTCTCCCATGTGAGTGCAGGGTCCCAAGGCTTTGGGCTGTCCTTGGCCATTTTCCCAGGCCACAAGCAGAGAGCTGAATGGGAAGTGGAGCTGCTGGGATTAGAACTGGCACCCATGTGGGATCCCAGTACGTTCAAGGGGAGGACTTTAGCTGCTAGGCCACGCCACCGGGCCCTATCTGTAAAATTGTTTATTTGAAAGTCAAGGGAGTGGGAAGAGAGCTCTTCCTTGCACTGGCTCAGTTCCCGGGTGACTGCAACAGCCGTGGCTGAGCCAGGCTGAAGTGGGGTGTTTTCTGTGGGTGTCCCATTTGGCTAGCAGGGACCCAAGCAGCTGGCTGTTCCCTGCTGTCTTTCCCAGGGCACAAGCACGGAGCTGGATCAGAAGTGGAGCAGCTGGGACTTGAATTGTGGCTCACATGGGATTCCAGCATCACAGGCAGTGACTTTATTCACCATACCACAAAGCTGGCCGAAAGCCATTATATTTTTCAGAAAGCTTTTTGTCTCCATGTTTTCCCTCTACTCTTAGAATCTGAAGATGCTCTCTAATTGTTTTCTGTTATCTTTATCATAAAATTCACATTTTTACATTGTGTAATTCCTTGTCATGGCGGCATGTCTGTTTTCCCATAGAAATAGGTGCTAGTACCTATGCTGTAAGTCCGTGACGCTGGATGCGGACCTGCGACAGTCCCTGGCGTCACTGTGGGCTAGAGAGACTGGGAGAGATTCGTAGGTGTTGTCATCTATGATATCGTGGTGCTAGAGAGTCCCTGAGTATGGCTCTTCCCCAGCTCAGTCTTGATACCCTTGCCAATCTGATTGACCTGGCACAACGCAGTATGCCTTCCTTCCTCTTCTCGCCCCTTCTTAGAGTTGCTGTAGATGTGGAAGGCAGAGGTTGAAGATGCGGCATCCCAAGCCTGCCCACATTCCTGGCCAGTCTAAACCTACAAAGGGACTTGCTGCTATTCCTCAGCACCCTCCAAGGCTCCACTTTATTGTCCGAGGAGCAGAGCAGGGGCTCACTGAGAAGACAGGGGTCCAAGGAAGCTGCCCAAAAAGGGCTCAGATATTGTGAGGTCTGACAGATGCTAGTATCCCAGCCTTCTCTGGGCACTGGAAACAGTCAACTGAAAAGTGGGAACACCCTGGGGTCAGCTTCCCCCACTGACAGCAACGCAACTCAAAGCAGGGCATGAGATCTGAAAGATCTTTGTGGCGATCCTGTTCAAAAAGTGCCTCACACTGGCTAGTATGTAGGTGGTTTATGACATTTGGGCTCTAAGTTCTTCTGACAGTATCCCAAACTTCACACAAAACAGGTTTGGGCAATTAAAGCACCAGACGATCTGTTATTCATCTCAGCTGAACTTCAGGGAGGAGAGCTCCGACTGCAGGCTGTGGGATGAGAACTACAGAATGCCCCAAGCCGGGGGCTAGCTGACCTGCTCTAATGGAAGACCTGTGTGCACGCTGGGTCTCAGGAGGGACATCCGACACTGTTAGAAACATCAGCGTACTTCAGTTGCTTCTGCCGGTGGGAGTGCTTAGTTTTTCAAAGATTTCGGCTTCTTCCTCCCGACTCTGTCACCCCGGTGTCCCGCCCCCTCCCGCTGTGAGAGTGTGTGAGGCTAACCGAGTAGTACTGCTTTGTCAGCACAGTTGTTCACGGATGGCTTTTTACGCCCAAGCCTGGGTGAGCAGTGACGTGGAACTTGCGAGCTTCCTCCTCCCCCAGCCCCAAGATAAAGTGAAAGCAAACAGGCGTTTGGAAAATTACTAGTGTTCTTCCTCACGCGGGCACTGGGGAGAAGCCGGCAGCAGATTCGTTACATTTAGCTTCTGGTTATTGCTTGCACTTGCCTCTTTCCAGGGCACAGTTTTGGGGAAAAGTTTCTGCAGTTTCCTTTTTGAGTAAAAACTTTCCGAGGCTGTTTCTTTCTTTCTTTCTTTTTTTTTTTTTTTTTGTGCCGGGGTGGCTCTAACAGGCAGAGGCATCTGAAAGGGGGTATTTTACATTTCTACGAGAAAGATAATTTATTCTAGAACTGAAATGAGACATTTACCCCATGTCTATTTATAGTTTTTGTTTTTGTTTTTTGGAGAGAAACCTGGCAGTTCCCCGTAGTTGCTCTTACAGCTTCAGATTCCAATCCGACATCCATCGCATTTTATTTTGACCAGCAATGCGCCACCCCGAGAGGAGAGTCAATGGGGGTCTATGTTCAAGTGTCTCTTATTTCTGGTTTCTTGAAACGGAAGACATTACCGTTCAAACACACCCTGCCAACTTGAGCGTTTATCTCCATTTATTTCATCAGCTTGAGTCTCCAGGTCGGTGGGCCGGCTCATTTCCACTGGCTTTGATTGTTGGGTGGAGAGTGTTGCTTGTGCATGGAGGTTTAAAAGGTTGGGTGAGAGGGTGAGCCTCCTGAGAAGGGGGGCTCACCGTTTGCACTGCTAGATCGCGGCACGTAATGCATGCTCAGTAGACTAGTTAAGCGAGACTGGTAGTATTTTTCCCTCTATGGAACTGAAGTATTCACAGAACTTTCAAGACATAACCCATCATTGCCAGAGCGCGCATATGGGGGATTAGTCTATTGAGCTATGGTGTCAGCCTCCCTCTCCCCCAAAATGAAACCTCTAACAGGAATAAGGAAGGAGGCAGGAACAGCAGTGCTGTTTAACAGAAAGGAGAAGGGACATAAAGTGTCAGGTGCAAAGAGAATGGCATTTGGGGGTGTTCAGGAAGCAGTTAGAGCCCGCAGGTGACTGCACAGTAAGTGGTTGGCACAACAAGTGTTTGGTTTGGGAAAGACATATTTACTTGACTGTGTTATCCTGCCACATTTGGTGAAGTGCAGATTAGTTCTCCGTACCCCTGGCTGTCTGCTTTTCCTCTCCAGAGCTAACTGCTGTTCCCAGTTTGGAGTATTAGTCTACAGATATTCTGCACCTATGCGGGTACTTCAGAAAGTTCAGGGACAAACAGGATTAAAAGGTGAACGTATTTTGGGGCAAACAAATCAAAATCTCTGTGGTCTTTTTATAATCCCATTTTCATGAACTTTCTGAAGCCCTCTCATGTTCTCCTGTCCCCAGGAGACTGTAATTAAAAAAACACTTTTTGTTAAAAGGCACACACACACACACACACACACACACACACACACACACACACACACAGAGTGAGATACCAGGGTGCTTTGACTTACTCTCCACATGCCTTCAATAGCTTAGGCTGAGCCAAGAGCCAGGAACTCAGTTTCTCCCACATGGGGGACAGGGCCTTAAGAACTTGAGCGATTGGGCCCGGTGCAGTGGCCTAGTGGCTAAAGTCCTCTCCTTGAATGCGCCAGGATCCCATATGGGCATCAGTTCTAATCCCGGCAGCCCCGCTTCCCATTCAGTTCCCTGCTTGTGTCCTGGGAAAGCAGTGGAGGAAGGCCCAAAGCCTTGGGACCCTGCACCCGCGTGGGAGACCTGGAGGAAGCTCCTGGACCCTCACTTCAGATTGGGTCAGTTTTGGCCATTGTGGTCACTTAGGGAGTAAATCATTGGATGGAAAATCTTCTTCTCTCTCTCTATATATATGATTTTGTGATAAAAACAAAAACAAAAACAAACTTGACAGGAGACGCATCAGGATGGGAGCTTGCACTTGAACCCAGGCTCTCCATGGGATGTGGGCATTCCAAGCAGTGGCTTAACCGTCCCAGCAAATATCTGCCTCTGGTATTTCTGCTGAACAGCCAGGAGGCTTGTTTGTATCCAGGATAGAAAAGGATCACTTCAGTGATGTGAGAATCTACTTTGGCAGTAAGGGTGGGCCCTTTTTCTGAGCTAGGGCAGGTGGAAGGCAACAGAGATTTCTGAAGCTATCACTTAGCTGGTGTGCAGTGTCCTCGGCCCGGGGGCAGCAGAGACTGTGCAGAGAAGAGACAGCATGGTCAGTGCAGACACCAGAGGCATCGAGGTGCAGGATGTCAGGCCCTGCGTGGGATGCCTGTAACGGAGTGTCTGCAGAGTGTCTGATGGAGGCTCAGCACCTCCACCTCTGACCCAGCTTCCTGCTGACGCATAGGGGACAGGAAAGATGGTGACTCAGGTGCTTGCGCCCCTGCCACCCATGAGGGGGATCTGGATGGAGTTTTGGGATCGTGGCTTCAGGTTGCCCTAACCCCGGACCTTGTGCCCATCTGGGGAGTAAATCAGCAGGTGGAAAATCTTTTTCTCTCTGTGTTGCTCTGCCTTTCAAAGAAATCAAAATAAAGCAAGTCAACATTAAAGAAAAAAAAAAAAATCGCAAAACAGGGGGCCAGCACAATCGCCTAATCGGCTAGTCCTCTGCCGAGAAGCACCAGCATCCCACATGGGCGCCAGTTCACGTCCCTGCTTCTCCACTTCCCATTCAGCGGCCTGCTTGTGCCCTGGGATGGCTTAAGTCTTTGGGACTCTGCACCCACGTGGCAGACCTGAAGCTCCTGGCTCCTGGCTTTGGAAAGGCTCAGTTCTGGCTATCGTGGTCATACGGGGAGTGAACAAGTAGATAGAAGATATTTCTGTCACTCCTCCTTCTTTCTGCAAATGTGCCTTTCCAATAAAAATACATCTTTATTTTTCTTTTTATTATTATTATTTTTTTTTTATTATTATTTTTAAAAAATAATAATTACATGGTTGATTAGGCTGGGAAGGATCAAGGTTTAAAGAAAATTGGGTGAATTCATTGCTTCCAAATTTGCTATTTCTTCTTGCTGTTCCTGGGGTGAGGGGAGAAACAAAGGGGAAGACCACTCATGACTTTCCACATGTCCCGGTGCCCAGGGGGAGGAACCGCCACCTCGCATCAGCCCAGAGTCTCAGTGTGTACATATTCCGAGGGTTCTGTCCAATGGCTTGGATAGTTCTGAAATGCTGCCAGTTTCACCAATCCAAGGATGTCACCCTCCCAATGTCCAAAAAATACGCCTTTAAATAAAAAAAGAATATCACAAAACAACCAACCCCAAAATCAATGCAAAAAAAAGATTTATTTTGATGATTTATAAAAGAAATCTCACCAGAGCAACTTAAAGCTATTTATACATTTAAAAATAAATTTACATAAATATATTCACATCATGTTACACCGAACAGCTTTAATTAAAAGGTTACATGTGGTGTTAAACAAGCCCAACACAACATAAATCAAGTTTTAAATTCCGTAAGTGTTCAAAAGCCACCAGAAGAAAGTCCAGAAAAAGACTGGAAAAACATGATTTTAGGAACCAAAGGTAAAGATGATTGCACTGGTTTTGGTTGATACGGCCTTTAACAGTCATTTTAAATTTAAACTGCAAACAGAAGCTTACATAAAGAGATTTAAAAAAAAGGTGAATAAAATTCCTTAAGAAACATTCTAGGGTAGCTCAAGAAACATAGAAATTGGAAATTTACATTCTGACCCATGAGAAAGCAGTTTTAATCAGAGATGGTATTTGCGATTTGTCTGGTTTCAGTTTTCTCCTGCAGGTTACATGCCAGCCTTGCTCCCTGTTGGGCACGGGGTCTGAGCAGCAGCACCCGCCATCCTAGCTGGCTCTCACTGCTCCCTCCTTGCGCAGGACCTGCCCTGGGAGGCAGGACAGCACTCTGAGGCTTGGCACCAACCTCGCTTGCAGGCTGCCTCCGATGGCTGCTCGCATGCACTCCCTCAAGCCAGGGAGGCAGTGCCTGGTGGCTGCCTGGGCACGCTTCCCTCAGCCCGCTTGCCAGGGGTTATGCAGTACCATGATCTGGCAGCTCCCTGGGTGCGCAAGTGGGAGGCCTGGCTGTCAGGTGAGATAACAGAAAGTAGTCAAAAAGCAGTTGTTCCCCCAGCACTGCGAATTACTAGCTGGTTTCATTAAGCAGAGGTGAGGGGGGCAGGGCCTGTTTCAGCTCCTTCCCTTAGGTAAGGCCCTTCACAATTAGTACAAGTCCTTTACTCCATGTTGCTGGACTTGTAGCCAGGTGTGTGAAACTAACACAAGGTCCAGCACAAGTATTGTTAATCATTAAAATAGCTAATTGGCTAATCTCATAAGTAGTGACATTTCATGATTATAGGCCATGAACATTTAATACAGGTATAATTTTTTTTTTTTTGGTATTTAGACTGTTCACACAGTAAAATAGCAAAGGCACTTTTGGTTACATGATAAATAAAAATACATTAATACAGTGAGGATTATTTACTGGTTCCTTCAGTGTCCATGTCCGTGGCGATTGTCGAGAGCCCAGGTTTGTACTTCACCTTTGGCGAATAGTGTGAAGAAAATGGCACCAAATACATTAATAGCAGCAGCGATACAGAAAACAATTTGCCATTCTCTAACAGTGTTCTGTAGAGAAAGAAAAAAAAATTGCAGGTAAAAATTACTGGCAGTCCAGTTTATAAAAACAGTTGGTCATAGGAGCATGTTCATTGTAGAATTAGTATTCCTAAAAGCCCCAAAGTTAAAACAACCCAAACGTTCATCAGCAGAACTGTAGTGTATTCTGTTCAAGGGAATATTACACAGCACCGAGGCTGAAATAAGCAAGCTATGTCATAGATCCATCTTACGAATAAAATGTTCAGCCAAAGAAGCTACAGGAAAAGAGGGCTTTGAATGGTTCGATTTATATGAAATATAAGCAAATCAAATCAGGCCAACAGGAACCGATAGTATTGCAAATCAGGATCGTGGCTCCCTCTAGTGGGGTTAAGAGAGAATGGAGGGAGGGACTGAGTTTCTTCAATAAGTTCTGATTACACAGATCCATTCACATTAGGAAAACCTAGTTCCACACTTATGTCTTGTAAAAATGCATTTTATGTTTCAATTAAAAAGCCTACTGAGAGCAAAAGGTGCGGTGTGTTTCTGAATCATGTGTTAGTACCAAAGTTAGGCCTTCATGCCATCTGAGGCTCATCAAGTTCAGGTGTGAGGGCCTGGCACGTTGGGTGGGAGGGAGGCCTGGTCAGGGTGGCTCACAAAGCACAGGTGAGCTCTGCCCAGAGAGCAAAGGTCACTCCATGTACAATCCAGTAACATAAAAACGCATGTTCTCTGAATTTCTGGATCACGTCACCACTTTGAAGAATTGTAATTTCTGCCTTAGACAGAAAGCTGTGCATTCAAAACCAACCAACCAACCAACCAACCAACCAACCAACCAACCAAACAAACAAACAAACAAACAAACAAAAGATGCAGCAAAAAGAAGGGAGTAAGGAACCAGAAAAAAATCATTTAGGAAATAAAGGAAAAAAAATACAGAAGGAAAGGGACATGCTGTGGTTTTACGTGTGTCTGAGATGAACATATTTTAGTAAACAATGAGTGTCACAGTGGGACCAGTGCTGTAGTGCAGTGGGTTGAAGCTGTCGTCTACAGTGTTGGCATTCCATACGCTCACGGGTCTGATTCCTGGCAACTACTTCTAGCCCAGCTCCCTGCTAACACGCGTGGGAGTGACCGGGCCGTGTCAGTGACGTGGAGCAGCTGGCCCAGCCCTGACTGCTGTGGCCATCTCAGGGAGGGGCAGAAGGACGATCTTGTCTCCAATTCTGGCTTTCAAATAAATACAATCTTAAAAAAAAATAAAGTTAGACATCTATCTTAAATGTTACTGAAAATAAATTTAGATGTGTTTCCATTCTGGAGGAGGAGTATGTCAATAATTACATCTTATTTCAGAAAGAAAATGCTTGCCACAGTGCCCTGGGATTCCTAAGACAAAGGTTTCTTTGCATGGGCTTTGGGATAATAATACTTCATTGTTACTTGCAGTCATTGAATGACTTGAAAAATTGTACCAGAAATCTCACACAACACCCAGCTTGTGCAAAAAATTCTACCGGTTTTGTAGAGAATGCTGTTTTGTTTATAACAAAACTAAACCTCAAATGCATTTTGAGTTTTAATTATTTATTCATACTCTGGTTTTTGAGGCAGTGCAGCTAATTTTAATTGCAAATGATTGCTTTTCCTTTAATTACATGAAACGAATGCTGCAGCATAGCTGTGGTGCGCGTCCACCTGACAGCCATGCGAGACTTGACTGAGGAAGCCACATTGCCTTCCCGGGTGTGCTGGCCTTGTCAGTGGGACATACACAGTATGTGCTACTGTGTTGACTGTGTCCAACGAGAGAAAGTTGCTCACACTGAGAGATGCAACTTTAGGGAAAAACCTTACGCAGGAACCTTTCAAATTAAGTGAGAGCAAGTAGTAGTGGGGAGGCCTGGGTCATTTAAGCAAGATATCAGAAACGGTGGGAGTGTGGAGAGATGGGAACGCTGTCTGTGCTCAACAGGTATGTCTGAAATCAGTCTATTGGATAGTTAGAAAGTCTGCAAGTATATACTGAAATTCCAAGGACCAGACATGCTATTAATTTAATTTTAAACAGTCTCTTTTAGAGGTTAGTCTCTTAAAGAACAAATTCCAGGGGCTGATGTGATGGGTTCATTAGCAGGATTTCCGTAACAGTGCTGGTTCGTGTTCCAGCTGCTCCGCTTCCCATCCAGCTCGCTGCTTATGGCCTGAGAGGCCAGTGGAGGATGGCTCAAGTGCTTGGGTCCCTGCACCTGCATGGGACACCCAGAAGGAAGCTCCTGGTTCCTGGCTTTGGATCGGCTCAGCTCCAGCTGTTGTGGCAGTCTGGGGAGTGAACCAGCAGATGGAGGATTTTGTCTCATTTTTTTCTGTCAATCTGCCTTTCCTTAAAAATAATAAATCTTAACAAAAAGAGAATGTATTCTATCACTCCTTTAGAGTCTTAAAAAGAAGGAAACCAGAATTGGAGGGAGTCTCCAGGATCAGTTTATTCAGATTTAAAACAATTATTACTTGAAAGGACGAGAGGGCAAATATGCACGCAGGGACGACAGAACTCCCCCACTCACTGGTTCACTTTCCAAATGGTCACAACAGCCAGGGCTCAATCCAAAACTAGCAGCCAGGAACTCACGCTAGGCCTGCCACGCGGATGCCAGGAAGCTAATCTCTGCTGCTTCCAGGCTACACACTGGTAGGAAGCCGGCATCGGGAGTGCATTCAGGATGCAGACACAGGCCTGTGGATATGGGATGCAGCCGGGCCAGATGCCCACCCCTATTTTAATTTCTTACATAGCACAGGCAACATTTCAAAATGATATTCTTTGTTCCCAGGTCCATGGGTGCACTAAGGTGGATTTTGTCATCGAATAGACCTTGAAAGTTTTTTTCTCAACCCTGGTGCAACAAAACCAAAAATGTCTCAGGGCTATTAAAACCACTCAAGTGGCACGTTATTTTCTCAGGGTGATATAATTTGTTGTTGATGTTGTTGTTGTTGATGTGGCTGTTATGAAATGATGTCAATCTGAAAAACAGTAACAACCCCAAACAGCCTGTATCTCATGCAATAAGATATTGTGAAGTAACCAATGAACCAACAATCGATCTGAGTCAGACTACTTATGATCTACATCAAAGAATTGTAAAACCTAATATACTTGTAAGGCACTATGCTACTCGGAAATGGGGAAGGAGAGCAGAGAAATCTTCCATCCCTCTAGAAGGTGTGAGGAAGATGGGAAGTATAACCTATCAGGATCATAACTGGTAACTCATAGAGAACAGACTTCAATCAGCATTAGACAATAGCAAAACTACAAAGGCATATGGGGGGAATCAGGAGTGATCCTGACAACCTCTTAACAGGAGGTAATATGCAAAGAGTAGGGGGGGACCCCAGAGTGGGGCAGGGGGACAGGAGGAGGCTTGTATCCCAACCCTGAAGACTCCCAGATCCTCACCAAGGACTACATCCCAACTGCCAAGGAGACCATGGGGAATTGGAGCGCCTTCGGAGGTCATCCACTCCCATTTGGATCTATCACATGGGATGGAAGAAGCCCAAATTCTGCCTTGCAGGATCCAAGGTCATTGGAATGACAACCAGGAGCACTGAGTGGTCTGCAGAAACGGAAGAACAGTAAACTTCCCTTGGGACTAGGGAGAGGAGCTTTCTCTGGTCCTTGGCTGGTCCGACTTTGGGTCCCCACCCTCTCTGGCAATGACCATTAGGAATGCTCCAGAAACCCCTCAAAACAAACAAACAAACAAACAAAAAGCTAGAATAGATAGAGAACAACAAGGAAAGCTTAGAAACAGACAGGAAACGGGCAGTGGGGATGCACTTATAACTCACTGGGCAGGACACAAAGATTAGTTACTCCTCACTAGGGTATTGAAGATTTCTCTGCACACCCCTCCTAAAACTGTTCACCTAAACTGCTGACATGTGTCTTGTTAGAATTATAGAGTTAGACTACCCGAAAAACAGCCAGGTACAGCAAAATCATGCTTCAATGCTATAAACTGCTAAATACTAAAATTAAAATAGACATGAGACAGCTGAATAGTAATCTATAGTCATTTTAAGGTGTATAGAACCCGGTTGTATATAAACTAATAATTGAAATGTCAATGTAGAAGTCACAGGATGTGGTTCAGAACTTGCATTCTGTTTTTTTTTTTTTTCTCTTTTAACATATTGGTTACTCAATACCATGTCAACTAATTCCATTAAGTTACAAATTGTTACTGATGTAATGTCGGGGCTTTTAACTGATCGGGATGACTCTGTCGGCTGGCTCTACCTTCAGACCAGAGATGGTCTCCCTAAGACACTGTTGAACTTATCTGGACAATAAGATGCTGGAGTCTATGCTTGGTAGATGCTTGCAATGAAAGAATCTCAACTGAAGTTGAACTGTGGTAATGTAGCAAGGTGGAGGAATCCACCATGGTAGGAGGGTTTGGGGAGGGGTGGGGGGAATCCCAGTGCCTATAAAACTGTGTCACATAATGCAATGTAATCAATTAAAAAAAAACACTTAAGTAACACCTTTCCTCTTCCTGGGCTCCGTGTGGTAGACTAGTGGCTAAAGTCCTTGGCTTGCATGTGGGTACCTGTTTGTATCCCGACTGCTCCACTTCCCTTCTAGTTCTCTGCTTGTGGTCTGTGAAAGTAGTCAAGGATGGCCCAAAGCCTTGGGGCCCTGTGTGGAAGACCCAGAAGTTTCTCCTGGTTTAGGGTTAGCTTAGTTCTGGCCGCAGCGGCCACTTGGGGAATGAACCAGAGGATGGAAAATCTTCCTCTCTGTCTCTCCTTCTCTCTGTAAATCTGACTTTCCAATAATAAATAAATCTTAAAAAAAAAAAAAAAAAGGTCAGAGCTGCACTGATCTGAAGCCAGGAGCCAGGAACTTCCTCCAGGTCTCCCACACGGGTGCAGGATCTCAAGGCTTGTGGTCATCCTTGACCACTTTCCCAGACCACAAGCAGGGAGCTGGATGGGTTGTGGGGCTGCTGAGATTAGAACCAGTACCTAAATGGGATCCCAGAGTATTCAAGGCAAGGACTTTAGCTGCTAGGCCACTGTGTTGGGCCCATAATAAATAAATCTTAAAAAAACAAAGCGAAACAAAACACTCTTCCCCACATCGGGATCACCAAGGCGTCATCCCCCCCGGTGGGTCCCATTCTCCGCTCTTTTTAGGCTGTCAGCAGGGAGATGGGTCAGAAGTGGAGCAGCCGGCACTGGCACTCTGGCTCAGATGACACAAGACCCTCCCTGTTTCTGTACAACTACAGAGACAAAGTCACCACTTTTCCTTTAGCAGCTCTTCAAACACATGATGACACCTTTCATTTCTTCCCAAATCCCCTGGTCCTTTAAATGGTTCCAGTTCACTCTCACGTGATTTCCTGACCTTGCCTTCATGGATCTAGTTTGGAATAATTTCACTTTGATAACTTTTACATGTCCAAATCAAACAAATTATCAGGAGAAAGTTTCGCAAATGTTAACTGCTCTTTTGGTTTTAGAGGTTCTTCTTTTTTTGTAAACATGCCTTTCCAATAAAAACAAACAAATCTTTATAAAAAAAAAAGAAAATTATATACTTTCAAATCTATTCAGGCATTTAGTGCTTTTTTTTTTGAGATAAAGAATTTCAGAAGGGGTTGGTATTGAGGCATAAGCATGTTAAGCCTCTTGCTGTGACACTGACACTGGCTTACAAGTCCTGGATGCTCCATTTCTGATCCAGCTTCTGCTGCACCTGGGAAAGCAGGGGAGGACGGCCCAAGCGCTTGGGCCACGTGTCCATGTGAAAGACCCAGAAGGAGCTCCAGGCGCCCACTTTGGCCTGGCCCACCCCTGGCCATTGTGGCCATTTGGAAATTGAACCAGCAGGTGGAAGATTTCTCTATCTTTCTTCTTTCTGTAAATCTGCCTTTTTTGTTTGAAGCTTTTAAAAAAGATTTTCAGGGCCTGGTGCGGTAGCTTAGTGGCTAAATCCTCATTTTGCATGTACTGGGATCTCATTTTGTCCTGGTTGCGCCACTTCCCATCCAGCTCCCGGCTAGTGAACTGGGAAAGCAGCTCGGCATGGTCCAAAGCCTTGGGACCTGTACCTACATGGGAGACCAGGAGGAGGCTCCTGGTTCCTGGCTTCAGATCGGCTCAGCTCTAGCTGTTGCAGCCACTTGGGGAGTGAACCAGTACACGGAATATCTTTCTGTCTCTTTCTCCGTGTAAATCTGCTTTTCCAATAAAAATAGATAGATCTTAAAAAAAAAAAAGATTTTCAGAAGAAAAAACATCTAGATTTTTTTTCCTTAAAAACGTTTCTAGAATTAGAAGACAAATTTAAAATCTATACATATGGAGTTTGTGAAATACAGATGCTATGAGAAAAACATGTACGAATTTCAAAGTGGTTTTTTTTGTTTTAATTTTTTTTTGTTTTTGCATCACAACACATTTCCCTTTGAGGTCTATCTTTCATTGAACTTTGGGAATTTCCCTTGTGTACTCAACTTTGGCAGAGGCGAAGCTCCCAAACCTTTGTGGTGTTTGAACAAATTCTCTACTTACATGGTGGGTTAGGCTTTTAGCAATGACGGGGCCAATCATTCCTGGAATGGTGGCAAATGTGTTTGTGATGCCGAGGAGAATGCCAGCATACCTGTGGAGACAGTTGTGTACAGGTTGGTCATTGTGTCACACATCAAGCAGCTTCTTTCAACAGACACACCGCCTTCCAGGTTGTGCTCCTGTGAGCCCCAGCTGAGGGGGGATCTTACATCCAGCTGTTGAAAAAGCTGCATTTCAATAATCAGCATTTTAACATTACACAGAGGACCACAGCCAATAACCTGGTCCCCTTCCTTCTTTTAAAAAATGTTTCTTTGTTTTTATCTGAAAGGTAGATTTACGGAGAGAAGGAAAGAGAGGATCTTGCACCTGCTGCTTCATTCCTCAAATGGCCACAGCAGCCGGAGCGGAGCCGGTTTGAATTTGGCTCCCAGCTTTGCATCTCCCATGTGAGTGCATCCATGTGATTCATCCTCCTCTGCCCTCGCAGGCCATAAGCATGGAGCCGAATAGGAAGTGGAGCAACAGGGACCAGAACCAGTGTCCACGTATGATGCTGGCACCACAAGACAGAGGATTAGCCTGTTGAACCACTGTGCTGGTACCAATACCCTTTTTATAGTGATGTTCTCCAAATGTCTACACCAGATAGGGCTGGACCAGGATGAAGCCAGGAGCCTAGAACACCCTAGTACTTGAGCTGTCACCTCCTGCCTCCCACGGTGCACATTAGCAGGAACCTGGAATCAGAACTGCAGCTACAACTTGAATCTAGGGCATCCTGAGATACATTTTAACCACTACACCAAACACATGCCCAACATAAAACTGTTGAAAGTGAGGCTGGTGTTGTGGCACAGTGGGTAAAGCTGCTGCCTGTGATGTTGTCATGTCCTGATTGCTCTACTTTTTTTTTTTTTTTAAGATTTATTTATTTTCATTACAAAGTCAGATATACAGAGAGGAGGAGAGACAGAGAGGAAGATCTTCCGTCCGATGATTCACTCCCCAAGTGACCACAATGGCCGGTGCTGTGCCGATCCAAAGCCGGGAACCAGGAACCTCCTCTGGGTCTCCCACACAGGTGCAGGGTCCCAAAGCCTTGGGCCATCCTCGACTGCCCCCCCCAGGCCACAAGCAGGGAGCTGGATGGGAAGTGGAGCTGTCAGGACCAGAACTGGCGCCCATATGGGATCCCGGCATGTTCAAGGCGAGGACCCAGCCACTAGGCCACGCCGCCGGGCCCGTGTCCTGATTGTTCTATTTCTAATCCAGCTCCTTGCTCATGTATTGAGAAAAGCAGCAAATAGGGCCCAAATGTGTAAGTACCCGCCCTGCACACGGGGGACCCAAATGGATCTTCTGACTTCAGGTTTTGGCTAAGTCCAGCCCTGGCATCGCAGCCATTTGGGGAGTGAACTAACACTGGAAGATTCGTCTCGTCCCCCTCTTTGTGATTCTGACTTGCAAAGAGATAAATGTCTTAAACATTGTCAAAGGCAAAGAAGCACGTATTTCTCAATAACAAAAATGAATTATGTCTAATTATTCCACACGTGGATCATCAACGTTAACTTTTTAGTAAACATCCTTAACTATTTTTTCTAAATGTGTATATTTCTACCACATTATTATAGATATGGAACATACTGAAAATGTAATTTTGTAATTTTATTTTTCCACTAATTAGATATTTGCTCACAGGCAAACGTTTGCACATGGTCCAAGAAGTAGACAGGCTGGGGAGGCATTTTGATGCAGTGAGCTAAACTGCCGACTGCAACGCTGGCATCTTGTATGGGAGTCCAGTTTCAGTCCTGGCTGCTGCACTTCTGATCTGCTTCCGCATTAATGCGCCTGGAAGAGTCAGCAGAGGTTGGCCCAAATGCCTGGGGAGATCGGGATGAAGTTGCTGGCTCCAGGTTTTGTCTGGACTTGACCTAGCTGTTATGGACATTTGGGGAATTAGACAGCAGATCAAAGATTCTCTCTCTTAAAGATTTATATATTGAAAGTCAGAGTTACAGCGAGAGAAAGAAGGAGAGAGAGAGATTCTTCCACTGGATCACTCCCACATGGCTGCAATTGATGGGATGGAGCCAAGCCAAAGCCAAGAGCCAGGAGCTTCCTCCAGATCTCCTAATTGGGTCGCAAGGGTCCAAGCACTGGACTATCTTCTGCTGCTTTTCCAGGTACATTAGCAGGGAGCTGAACTGGAAGTGGAAAATTCAGGTCTTGAACCTGTGCCCACATGGAATGATGGCATTATAGGTGGTGGCTTTACTTGCTGTGCCACAATGCTGGCCCCATCTAACCTTCTTCCACGAAGTCCTTGGTATGTAGTTCAGTTCACATTGAACTGTTGTCTCAGAATCTTTATCATTTTTAAAGTTAGATGACATGTGTGAAGGTATAATTATGTTCTAATTCAAGTGTGATGATTCACACTCCAGCCTCACCATACATTTGTTTTATTTCTTTCCGTCACATCCAGGGCCCAGGACAACCCATGTACTCATTCAGGACATGATAACTGAAGAGAAGTAGCACGTGACCATGGATCGTCACAGCCCCAGGCTCATGGGATCTTGACTGCACAGACCATGCACTTTGTTCCCTATAGACAGTGGCTTTAAAAGCTGCAGGTTCTGGGCCCAGTGCGGTAGCCTAGCAGCTAAAGTCCTTGCCTTGAACACCAGGATCCCATATGGGCGCTGGTTCTAATTCTGGCAGCTCCACTTCCCATCCAGCTCCCTGCTTGTGGCTTGGGAAAACAGTCGAGGACGGCCCAAAGCCTTGGGACCCTGCACCCACGTGGGAGACCTGGAGGAGGTTTCTGGCTTCTGGCTTCGGATCCGCGCAGCACCGGCCGTTGTGGTCACTTGAGGAGTGAATCATTGTATGGCAGATCTTCCTGTCTGCCTCTCCTCCTCTCTGTATCTCTGACTTGGCAAAAAAAAAAAAAAAATCTTAAAAACAAAAACAAAACCCTGCTGGTCCCCAGGACTGGCAGAATAGCTCAACTGGCTAACTCTTCACCTCTAAGCGCCTATAACAGGATTCCACAGATTTAGGTTTGATATTTTGAGAACAAAATTAAAAGGTGGTGGAAGAATCACATTTTAAAAAAAGATAAACAAACAATCTATTTTTCATAAAAAGAACCTAAGCACATACAAAATCCAATTAGAGCCGTAATTTTTTTTTTTTTTTGTGATAATCAGTGTTATTAAAAAATAAAATTCTGGGATTGGTGTTTTGGCTAATCTTGCACCACCAAGAGCCAGCATCCCATATGGGTGCTGGTTTGTGTTCTGGCTGCTCCAAATACCATCCAGCTCCCTGCTTGTGGCCTGGGAAAGTAGAGGAGGACGGCCCAAGGTGTTGGGACCCTGCACCCATGTGGGAGACCTGGAGGAAGTTCCTGGCTCCTGGCTTTGGATCGGCCACTTGGGGGGTGAATCAGTGGACAGAAAAACTTCCTCTCTGTCTCTCCTTCTCTCTGTAAGTCTGCTTTTCCAAGAAAAATAAATAAATCCTACCAAAAAAAAAGGGAAATAAAATTCTGGTCTGATGTTTTACTTATTGTGAGGTAATGCAATTTCTATCAGTGCTTACGATTCTTAATATCAAGACTGATGACTGATCTGAAATCTTTCTCTCCAGTTTGGAAGGAAAGATACCTAAAACAAAAACAAAAGCACCACCACCCTCCTTCCCCACTAACTCGGCCTGTCTGCAAGCTCCAGACTGTGTATTCAGCCCCTTGCATGAGCCACAGATCTTTGTGACTTATGCCCTCGCGGGAGTGTATCTTAAATTAACCAAGCTTGGCAGGATCTATTTTTTTTTTTAAGCCATTAACACCTTGGCACTAGGAGTAGCCAAGTTCAATGTTGCCAGGTCTTTTCAGAGACAGATATTAAGTGCAGATGAATGCTGTGAAATTCTAAATGTCAGCACCAAGAAGCTCTTTCAAGTATTCATGTTACATGTGGCCGAGAAGGGCAATGAAAGATTGGTGACTGCTTGGAAGAAAACACGCTGTAAAGGCTCCATCTGGATTATGTGCTGTTGGAATACTAGAATTTTGTGGGACTAATAAATAAGTCTATCCCATTCTCCATAATGTGGGTAATGTAGTTATCCAGAGATAATACCTATTTTAAAAAATAAAAAAATAAAAATAAAAACAATTAAAAAAAAAGAATATTTTAGTCTGGAGAAGGAAAAGCTCAGAAAATACCAGGTATACATTTATATTAAAATAGGAATACTGCTTATGGAAAGTCTTCTTTAAACATGGTTTTAAGTACTATATATACATGTGTGTATGTATGTATTATGTGTGTGCATATGAAATTTTATTTTAATAGTAAAGTCAACCCTATGAGGTACAAGTTATCTTCATTATATGAATGACAAAATATAAAATAATAACCAATTTGATTCCAATCAGTACTTGATATTATGCTATAATTTGTAATGCTATCTTGGTGGTTATGTGATCAATGAATTTTCTCAGACTTAACTTTTTACAACAAGTCCCTCTGCAAAACTGAACACATTAAGGTTCTGTGGTCCTCATGTAGGCTAACAGAGGACATCGAGTGCCTTGTCATAGGATGGAGAGAAGAACAGATTGGACAACTCTCCTGGCCAAGCTTTGCAGCATGTTCCTGGGTCTGTGGATGCATCAAGGTGGACTTGGTCAGCCAATAGATCTTGAAAATATTTTCTCAGCCCTGGTGCAATGAAGACATCTCAGAACTACGAAAACCACTCAGGTAACACCCTCAGAAGACTCTTCCCCACATTGGGGTCTCTAAGATGTCATCAAATGACTGTTCCTCATCCCCACGTGCTGATGTGGTTTGACAAGAAATGGGCTCCTCCCCTTTCCTCTTTGTGTGGACATGGGGAAAAAAAAAACCAAAAAACAAAACTGAAACTTTCTAATTAGAGGTATCCTTGGGCATGCCTCCTTCTTAACTATGTAAATAATATTAAAACAAAAATTTAAAAAGTAAAAAGGTTCTGTGATCCTTGAGAATTCTTTTTCTAACTACTAGCACTGTTACATTATACAGGCATTCAATTGTTGGAAAGACAAAAAGTAACTAAGCAACAACATGGTCACAGCATTGGTAACCCCAGCTGGCCAAGACACTGGAAACTAATAATAACTGGTGTTGTTTGAACCAAGACTAAAAGCTCAGCTGAAAAGATACGTAAAAATCTAAGGAAGAAAAAGACTTTCACTAAAATGAAATTATATTTGTACAGCTATACAAACTTTCTCACTTTATTAGAAAAGCAGAGACACAGAGACAAAAGAAGAGATAGAGATTTTCCATCTGCTGGTCTCTTCCCCAACTGCCTTCAATAGCTGCGGGAGGCCCAGGCCCACGCCAGGAGCCAGGAGCTCACTCTAGGTCTCCCAAGTCAGTGGGAGGACCCTCGCTCATGAACATTACCTGCTGCTGCCTAGGGTGGGCATCAAGCAGGAAAATGGATTGAAAGCACAGGACTCAAACCAGGCACTCCAAAGTGGCATATAGGCCTCCCAAGCAAAATTTCGTGCCAACTACAGCCGTATAAGTTTGTTCATACCCATAAATCTAATGTTTCAGTCAGCTGAGAGAAGAGCAGCTTCATTCCATGTGCATTTAGGTACTTGGCAGCCTTCTAACTGTGATTATTTGCTGGTATCATTTACATTGCTGAATTATTTAAGATCACAAATATCTAGATAACTGTCTTCTGGATTTAGAAGATTTCAGGGTCTTTAAGACGATGCTAAGGCCAGAGCTGCAGGAGCCCCTCTGCAGGTTGTTCGGTGTGTACTTCATGACGGACCTAGTCAGCCAAAGTACACAGACACGGGCGGGGACTATGTGACTTTCACTTTGTGTCTCCAACATTTGGGCCAGTGTTTGGTGTGAATGTTCCACGACCAGGCCTGCTAATCAGCTATTGAAGACCCACGTGGAGTTCCAAGGACTGGCTCCTCCCTGGCCACTGCAGTCACATGGGGGAGAAAATCAGCAGATGAATTTTTTTTCACATTCTGTCTCTCCTTCTCTGTTATTCTTTCATAGAAATAAAATAAATCTTTACATATAAGATCAATGCAGAAACAGTTTTTTTAAGCAAGATTTTTAACAAGGTACTGAATATAAAAGTTTATTTCTACTCTTCCATTCACGCAACTGAACAACAGAGTACTGCCTATGATCTGGTGCAGGAGCAGGTGCTGGGTGGGGCCACTGTGGGAAGCAGGGCAAACTGGGTCCATGCCTTGCCCTAGCCTGTAATCCAAAAGCTTTTGCTTAAGTTACCTTTTGCTTCAAACGGCTTCCTAGAGTCCAAGGCCGAAGTGCTGTCAGTACTCTTCCTGTGGCTCCCTACTGGTAAGGTCTCTTAGCACTGAAGCTCCTATTTTCTTAGCATAATCACACAAGTTAAAGGCTTAGTAAGTGCCAGCCAGGGGTGCCATTCTTGTGCCAAGAGCTGTGAGTATATCGGATTTCTCAGTCTGAAGGAATTTAAATTCAAATCATGGAGATAGGAAAGATAAAGTGGTTATCTATCACGGTAAGGTAGTAACCAGTCACAGACACATCTAGGACAGAATTACACACGGAAAGCATAGAGAAGAAAGGGAAAAAGCAGGCAGTGCTAGTTGGGAAGGGGCCCACAGAGCACTGAGAAGTGAACTGGGAAGGACTTGGATAGGGGACGGCACTACCAGGAAGGGGCGCAGACATGGCAGGAGGCACCCCAGTGTGGCCAGCACTGAGAAATGAACTGGGAAAAACTCAGATGGGGAAGGAACTCTGGGGCAGGAGATGTGGCAGGACTGTGGCTCAGGCACAGTAGAGGCTCAGGCAGGCACTGAGGTCACCAAGATGCTAGGCTTGAGATCTTGTTGGGCTTTTCTGTAGAACTAGAGAATGGACAAAGGGGAGGTGTGCTGAGTACAGCTCATCGTGGAGTGTTTACTGAAGGGACAGGAGATGCGGACTGACAGCAATCACATTTTGCTCTCATCACTGATTAGCTATGATTTGAAGTCAAACCGTTTGACTTCTTTGCACTCGAGTATTCTTAGCTATAAAATAGGGCAAGAATACTATAGTTAAGACTACTTAAAAGCATAGAGTGTGTTTAAGTATAAAACACTTCTGTGGGAGTGATCTCTATTAAGTGCTACACAAATACATTTACACATAGATCACCTAACAAGCTCTTTCTGTTGTATTTTCCCCGATTACATGCCTGCCCTCTATGCGCTAAGTGCCACGGTGCTATTACCCAAGGATGCTGGGGTAGCATTTGTTTTCAGAGTTTCCTGTTCTGAGTGGAAAGACAATGCGTCACTGCCAAGTTCTTATGCAAGCAATATGTTCCTGTGGACAAAGCTGACGGTTGCTAATAGTTTTAACTCAAACAACTTCATGAGCAGGTGTTTAGCTTAGCAGTTAAGAAAGAAGCTTGCATTCCATGTTGATTTTCGACGCCAAGATCTTAGGGTGCAGCAGTGTCGGGTTCCTGACACCTGTGTGGGAGACCTGGGTTTAGTGCTTGGCTCCCAGCTTCGGGCCTGGACTCAGCTGCTGCTGGACCCTAGGGATTAATCCAGGGGATGCAGGATCCCTTCCTCCTTCTGCTTCTCAAATAAACAGAAGTGAAACCAAACTCCATGCTTTGATCATCATGTATTCTGACATCTTGTAAAGAATTGACAGTTTAGTGGCTAAAGTCCTTGCCTTGCATGTGCTGGAATCTCATATGATGTTGGTTCATACACTGCCTGTTCCACTTCCCCTCCAGCTCCCTGCTTGCGGCCTGGGAAAGCAGTAGAGAATGGCCCAAAGCCTTGAGACCCTGCACCTGCATGGGAGACCCAGAAGAGGCTCCTGGTTCCTGGCTTAAGATCAACTCAGTTCCAGCTGTTATGGTTACTTGGAGAGTGACTCTGCAGATGGAAGATCTTTCTCTCTGTCTCTCCTTCTCTCTGTAAATCTTTCTTTCCAATGAAAATAAGTAAATCTTTAAAAAATTTTTAAAAGAACTCTTAAAAAAATTTCAGTCATTCCTATGGTAGTCAGATTCCGGGATGCAGAAAGTAGGGTGATGGTTGCCAAGGCCTAACAGCAGGGGGCAACGAGAAGTTAGTGTTCAAGGGGCACAGTTTCAGTTGTGGAAGTTGAAAAAAATTGTTGGGATGGTTGGTGGAACTAGCTGCACAACCATGTGAATGCAGGTAATGTCGTTACGTTGGATACTTGAAAATGGATAAAATGGTATTTGTGTTACATAAATTTCATTCAAGAAATTCATGGGAAAAAAATGAGTATAATAAAAGTGATGCATGAAATTAAAACCAGTTTTACACCAAAATAAATTGATCTTTTAACTCAACTTTCCCACAGTTTTGAACTATCCCTACATACATATTTTGCCATAATTTAAGAAAGAACTCAGTGTCAATCCTACTAAATCTTCACATTAGTACTCACGAAGGAGCAATATCCAGATGGTTGATGCTGAATCCAGAGGAGCAGAAGCCTCCCAGTGTGGTTGAGACGGTTAGGAAAGCAACGGCCAGAGAATAGTCACAGCCTATGAACCCAGCAGCTACCAGGAATGCTGCAGGTCCCATCATTCCTAGGGTTCAAAGACATAAAAGGAAATAGAATCTCAGAATTATTGCCCCATCTTAAACCAGCGGAAATCTGAGATTTGATGTTGCTGCCACCTACTGTTTAAACACTGTATTGCACAGAAGATTCCACTAGTGCAGATTTTTGTAAAACTGCTGGAAACATGGGCATAGTACAACTAATAAGACAGTGAAAGAAACATTTCATTATGCAATGTTATTAGGCATACAGGAGATCAGGACTCAGCTAAAGTGCTACAGTGTTAAAAAAATGGGCTGGGAAAGGATGACTAAAAAATATAGTTCTAAGACAAGCAATAACTATCGAAGGCACAACTTAAAATTCACATAACCGCTGGGAGATACTCCAGTGGAAGTATGATGGACTTGGGAAAATTCACGATGGACACACATTACGATCCTAGAGAGGAGAACAGCAGGGAGGGGAGAGCCCACTGCCAACTGTATCAAAAAATAAAAATTAAAAAAATAATAAATAAAATTCACATAACCAAGGATGGTAAACTAAATGACGAATTTTTCTGGGTACAGCTAAGAGTACACAGTATCTTAATCCTAACCGTTGACAGTAACATATACAGGTCATTATGGGTAGCCAAGTAACAAAATACAAGTTACACAAGGACTTAATATAGGGTTTGTCATTGTCTTCTTTGTATTTGCTACCCAGAAACTCTCTGGGACAATGGAAATGTATTCGTATGTACTATATCCAAACAACTTATTCTAAAATGTTAACAAAACTTAAACAGCCACATGTGGCTAGTAGCTATTGTACTGTGAGGAACAGGCCCACAAAAACGTTGAAAACTGACACAAATCCCAGATTAAGCTTACAGGGGTTTAATTCCTCTGCAGGTGTGAGGTCAAGGCACCCAGCCTGTGGGAAGGACAGCTTCTCCTGGGATGGGTGGTACCCAAGTGTTCGCAGAGTTAGCTGAATAGGGTCTTTTGACAACAAGATTACCCAACGACAGATTCCAGGGTCTCTAATTGCCTGACACCTTTAACAAATGGAATAACTTCTAGATAATTTAAAAATTTAACTTAGGAAACCAGAGTCTGAAATGTAACTGTGTAGGTTTCCTTTGAATTCTTTGGATTGAAATCCAAAATGCACTCTTGTAGAAAAGGATAGAGGCTTAGGAGAACTTTCACTGTAAACTTACAGCTGAAGCCAGAGTGCTGTCTAAAATTCTGGGGATAATGTTCAGCAAAATAAGCCTTTTTTGGGGGGAGAGGTTAAAAGCTATGGTACAAAGATGCACTAGGTGCATACTGTATTTTAATATGAAGGAAAATAAATGCCCAATATTATCATTTTTTATTTTATCTTAAGCTGTGATGACACTATGATACTGGAAGAGATATGTATTTGGTTTTGGCCCATTGTTCTTGGCACACAGCTCCTAAAATCTTGGCATTAATGATTACTTTTTAGATGCTAATGAGATGACTGCTGGTTGGGGTCCCTAGATAGCTGCAGGATGGGTTCTGTCACCAGAAAGACCAAGTCCTACTAGTGGGCAGGGCCTTTCAACAGCACCCTGCACCTGTGTGGAGGCTGAGCTCATCACCAGCGGCTTGTGACTGAATCAGCCACGTCTACATAATGCAACCTCCATCAGAACTCCAGAGGACAGGGCATGGATGGCTTCCGGACACAACGTGAAGGAGCCTGGCAGTTGGGGTGTCCAAGAGGGCACATAAGGGCGTGGTCCCTTCCTACTGACTTCACCTATGCAGCTCCTCTACCCGGAGGACCACTTGTGTCCAATGGAACATCTCTCAATCAAGAAGCAAGCCCTAAAAGTCTTAGTTCTATAAACGTCCTTGCAAATGAATGGGATCCAAAAGGGGGTCATGGGAACGCCTGATGTGTAGCCACAGTCTGGGGTTAGCACAAGTAGGGGCCAATCTTGTGGGACTGAGCATTCAGTCTGAATCCCAGGACACCCAGAGGCTGTCACAGCAGAACTGGCTGCAGATGGGGGAGAAGTCCCCAAGTATGGCTTGGTGACCAGAGGTGAAATGTTCTGTGCTGAGTATTGTGGTAACTGTGTCTGCAAGAAGGAGCAATGCTATTTTCTTTCTACCTCCAACAACCTTAAACACAGTGAGTACGTGCAAATCCAAGCAAAGCTGTACTAAATGGTATTTACCTATAAGTGTAAAAAGTCTGCGAACACATATAGTTGAAAAATTCCATTTTGCCCTTAAAGTATCAGCAGCTTGACCAGACAGGATCATACACAACCAACAGCCGAAATATGGCACTGCAGATAAAAGCCCATTCTGGAAGGAAAAGGGAGATACAGAATTAATACGTATATTACAGCTATTACTACCACTTGGAAACAAAGGAAAAATGGGCTGTTAATTTTTACCCAAATTGACAGGAAGTAAGTTTGGCTTTTGGGAAGCTTGGGGGAGGGATTCAGTTAAATGCTGTCCCTAACAGTCTGTCCTGGCTCACACCATCCTGTCAGCCCAGGGCAATGCCCAGCGCTATTTGGGGAACCGGCTTACAGAAGAGGACACCTGCCAACCTGCTGTGGACTCTTCCCACTGGAAAGTTGTTGTCTTCAAGCTCATTTGTTTATTCAAGAATACAGAAAACATCATAACTCAGATGTGTAGCTTAATAAATGATTCTTAAGATCATCTAGGTCACCAAAGAGAGTTTTGCCAGCCACCTGGAGGGCTTCCGATGGTGCTGGCCCGGCCACAGGCCCCTCCCTCTTCCTGGATGTGAACAGCATCCCAGTTATAACACACAGTACTCACAGATTCCTACTTATTTGCGGTCACATTGCTCAAGCATGCATCTATACACACCACAGTTCAGTTTTGATAATTTAAAAACTTTGGCTAAGAATTAAAAATAAGACTTCAAACTTTTTGGCTTATTTGACAGGCTGAGAGAGACAGAGGAAGAGAAATGAGGAGGGGTAGATGAAAATAGAGGAAAAAGGAGAAAGGAAGGGAAAAAGGGGGGGGGGCGAAGGGCAAGAGGCAGAGAGGAAAGGAAAGAGGGAGAGGGGTAGTAGGATAGGGAAGGAGAGAGCATTTACACAAGCAGGCACTGCCACCTGCCCATTCTCCTCCCAAATGCTGAAGAGGGTTGGTGGTGGCAGGAGTGACAGCAAGCGCCTTCCTGTCCACTGGCTCCCTCTCCAAATGTTTGCAACTGGGCTGGGTTGAAGCCAAGTGCTGGAAACCTAACCCAGCAATGTGAGCCATCATCACTTGCCATCTGGAGTCTGTGCTAACAGGAAGCCCGGAGTCAAGGAGCTTTAAGTGGGTGCTTATTAAAAGGAATCTTCCTCAGTACCTTAATGGTGGGCCAGAGGCCAGCCCTGAAACAGTTTTAATTTCACTTTTGATTTGTAAATTCTTTCTTACTTCATTTCATTTATTTTCAAAAAATCAGTGAGAAGTAGAGCCTGAACTCAAACAAATGATCTTACAGCTGAATCTGTGTTTACTTTCTCTTTTTCTCATACAGCCATCCCCACACAAAATTTATTTATTTATTTTTAACCTGGGAATCTTTCTTGATGGTTTATTCTCCCTGGCATTTCATGTCCAATCCCTAAGTACAGCCTGCTCTACTTTCTTTAAAAAAGTTTATCTCCCCTAGTTTTTCCTCAGTGTCTACTCTTCCCCCACTCCATGGGGAGGTATCCTCATCTCTTGCTGGAATGATTACAACAGGTTCCTAACTCCTGCCCTGACCTTCCCATTGTCAGTAACTCCAACTTTCCATGATCATGGTCTTGGGCTTCTCATTCTGTTAACCCTCTATCTTCCCAGCTCATGCTCTCCAGCATCTGCTATCTGTTGTATCTACTGTAGTATCTCTAGTGTCTATGGATTTAAAAAAAGCGTCTATTTGAAAGGCAGAGTCACAGAAGAGAGAGATTCATGCCACATATGGCCACAACAGCCTGGCCAGGCTGAAGCCAGGAGTTTCCTTTCAGTGTCCTTCATGGTTGCAGGAGCCCAAGCACTTGGACTACCTTCAGTTGCTTTCTAAGTCACATTAGCAGAGAGCTGGATCACAAGTGGAGCAGTCAGGACGTAAACTAGTACTTATGTGGGATTCTGGAAGGTGGCAGCTTAACTCACTGTGTCACAACGCTCCCCACATCTATTGATCCTACCACCTGCCTACTCTCCCTAGCCAATAGCGGTCCCACAGCTGCTCAGGCGCACTGCTCCCTGACATAGGCCCTTGGTTCCTCTCCTACTCTGACTCCCTCAGCAAAACCAAGCCCTTTTTCTACCACGTACTTGCACTTGAGCAACTGAATGTGTCTCAAATAATACAACCCGGCGTGCCTATGTCTTCAGACCAAGGGGCTTGAGCCCCAGGTGGGCCTCAGCGCTGCCAGGCAATCACACTCCCTGTGCCTCTCCCAACGCCTGAACAGTAAGGTGGAACAGACTTTGCCAGGCTCCTGTCACCTGCCGGCATGAATCAGCCGACATGCTGGCACACTAAGAGGAACTGGCAGAACCATAATGGCTGAAGGGCATACCAAGCTGAAGATGTTTGGATCAACAGTCAACATATGCTGAGAAGAGAAGAGGCCACTTTGGAGGCCAAAATGGAAATTCTCACTTTGTATCAGAGACAGAGGATTATTACTTCTTACCTCTTGAACATTGAACCTTAGGATTTCCTTCATGTAAGTAGGCAATAATGTCAATAAAGTGTAAAAAGTCCAGTTGTAAGAAAAATGTGCAACTACAATCGCCCAGAGCGGTAGTGACTTTAATATGGGTATCCATGGCACTGACTTCTGTGTAGAAAGCTGCAGAAAACAAGGTCAATTATGATAAGATATAGCTTTGTTAATGTTTAGATTTTTTTCATCTTACATGATAAAACCAAATTTAACACATACAGATTAGCAATCTTGATTAGTAAATTCCAGATATTTGTTTTTAAAATGTTAATTAATTAATTTCATTTATTTGAAAGGTAGGGAGACAGATGGCTAGAGATCTTCCATTCATTGGTTCACTCTCCAAATGCCTACTAGAGCCAAGCCTGGGCCAACCATGGTTTTGTGTAAGGGTGGCAGGGACCTACATATGTAGGTGGTTATTTGGCATAACAGTTAAGACACCACTTGGGGACCCAGTGCAGTAGCCTAGTGGCTGAAGTTCTTACCTTGCATGTGCTGGGATCCCATATGGGTACCAGTTCGTGTCCTGGCTGCTTCACTTCCCATCCAGCTGCCTTCGTATGGCCTGGGAAAGCAGTCAAGGACGGGCCAGAGCCTTGGGACCCTGCACCCGTGTGGGAGACCTGGAAGAAGCTCCTGGCTCCTGGCCTTATTGGCTCAGCACCAAGCATTGTGGCTACTTGCGGAGTGAATCAATGGATGGAAGATCTTTCTGTCTCTCTTTCCCTCTGTAAATCTGACTTTCCAATAAAAACAAATAAATCTTAAAAACAACAACAACAACATAGGACAACACTTGGGCTATCTGTATGTCACGTTGGACTCTGTGTTTAAGCAGTGCAGCTGCATCTGCAGCTTTCTGCCCGTGTATACCTTGGGAGGAAGCAGGTGGTGGCTCAAGTGGTCATCTGCAGAGTGAATCAGTGGACACAAGCTCTCTTTTCTCTGCCTCTCAAACAAGTCAAATTTGCAAGGCTTCTCAGGAATCCTGTGCAGCAATGTTCCCAAACTCGGCTGCACATCAGCTTCATTCGTGGCTCTTTAAACACCCCGGAGGCCACAGTCATATCTTAGAAACACTGGGGCAGGGCGCTAGGTATCATAGTTACTAAAACGTTCCCCTGGGATATCAATTTGCAGTGAAGTTTGGGACCTTCCGCTATGCAGATGAGACTTTTTAAAAAGGATCTATTTCAATAATAATAATAATAAAATGTAAAAAAAAAGATAGCTCCCCCCCCTCCCCCAAAAGGATCTATTTCTTGTCACCTCTCCACCCCGCAACCTCCCTGGATTTCAAAGCTTACAGCAGAGGTTTTAGAATTGGGAGAAATTTGAAACATGGGTCTTTTTACATGACTTTTAAATCCACAAAGGTAATGAAATCATAATATTACATTACAAGAAATGAGCTTAAATATATTTGAACTGTGGAAACTAAATGTATAATGAAAAATGTATCCCATTTCTTAGAAATATAAGATGTTACATTAAACACTTAATAACCTTAAGATTTCTGCTATAACGTTAAGATTCCTGTAATATATATTTTTACTTACTGAAAGTGATGTTTTAGAAACATGAATGCCTTTTGCAGCTTTTTATAAGGTATAATCTTGTTTGTACAAATGAAGTAAAAATGAAAGAATTTTAGTTACTAGCCTATTTTCACAACATATAAATACCAACTGAATTTTTAATAGTTTGATGTTTCATAGAATCACTCAATCACACATAATTTTGACATAAAACAGGTTTTCCACAGTTGCTAATCATGTTAAAATTATTCAAGCCAAAAATGTATTTTTTAAAGATTTACTTATTTTTATTGTAAAGGCAGATTATATAGAGAGGAGGAGAGACAGAGAGGAAGATCTGTCTGATGGTTCACTCCCCAAGTGATCGCAAAGGCTGGTGCTGAGCCAATCTGAAGTCAGGAGCCAGGAGCTCTTCCAGGTCTCCCAAGTGGGTGCAGGGTCCCAAGGCTTTGGGCTGTCCTCGACTGCTTTCCCAGGCCACAAGCAGGGAGCTGGATGGGAAAGCAGGGCCGCTGGGACCTGAACCAGTGCCCATATGGGATCACGGCATATGCAAGGTGAGGACCTTAACCACTACACTATCGCGCCAGGTCCTAAAAATGTATTTTAATATGTTACTTAGATACAGTCTCCAAATATCTAGCAGAAATTCAAGAAAAAAATTCTGAAGGGGTTGGCACTGCGGAACTGCACGTTAAGCCGCTGCCTGTGATGCAGCGTCCTCTATGGGTGCCAGTTTGAGTCCCGGCTGTTCCGATTCTTATCTAACTCCCTGCCAATGTGCCTGAGAAAGCAGCAGAGGATGAAGCTCTTGGCTTCTGGGTTTAGCCTGGCTCTGTCCCTCCATCTCTCTGTATCTCTGCCTTTCAAACAAACAAATATATCTTTAAAATGACTTTGATGCCAGTAAAAATGCTAAAGACAGACTATATATTTTAAAAATGTCCCGATGTTTCTCATTAGCAGCAGAGCGGCCAGGGCTCGGATCGGTGCCTACATGGTACGCAAGCATCACAGCTGGCAGACTTGGTGCTTATGTTCTTCGATTCTTCCCCAAAGGAAAGTATTCTGTTTCCTTTGATATCTGATTTGTTCTGCGTTTGATAAAGAGATCTAGTTTCAAGAAGATGTAAAATTTTTTCTTTCTAAAGATGCCTACATCATCAGGAAGCCAGAATCAGGAGCCCAAGACATGAATCTAGTTCCGGCACTCTGACAGGGGACATGGGCATCTGAACTGCACGGCCAAACACCTGCTCCTGCATGTCACAGTTTTAATCTGGAAAGTACTGGAATCCTTCAGACAACATTTATTTATTTCATTACATATACAACACAAATATCTATTTACAAAAATTGGTATCTCATTAACTGAGGACCAAAAGGTTCTATACTTATTTCTAAAATGTTCCCGAGTCCATACCTGATTTTTTAATGATGAAAGAATGTATTCTTTTTCATAATGGGAGATTGTCTTGTGAGTTTCTGGCGTATCACTAACTATCCATATCCATAAAATAAACCAAAAAATTCCAACTATGCCTTAAAATAGAAAAAACAGAGTTAAAATTAGGATACACCAATAGCAGCTTTTCTATCTTAAAAACTATGTAATGATAATGTGACATAAAATCGGCTCCAGTAGAGATCCATTTTCAAGCCTCAGTTATTGGATTAACTGCCACACTGTCTTATTATTGTTCCTATATTTTGAAGACAACAACTCTAACCACATGATTTTGCTTATTAGGATTCAACAGACAAACCTTTTGGAAAATAAATTTACATAGTTCATGTATGTCCAGAGGTACCTTTATTTGTTGATGCCTCACTTTGATGTAGACATATTTCCTTCCTTAAATATCTACATGAAAATATAAACTTATTAAAATTACATAATTCTGTCAGTGAATCGGGGATGAGAAATGAAATGCTGTGGGATTAAATGAAAAAGAAGACTCAGCCATCAAGTGACAGCATCCTACTTTGCTTGAGAACAAATATTTTCAAAATACACGTTTTTATAATAGCCAACCCAGAAAATTTTGACAGTAAATGTGCCACTTAAGTGCAGGAATCAACAGTAGTTTCTATTGAGAAATATTTTTATTAAAAATCCAAACATAACTGGGCTGATTCTTTTAAGCATATCAACTTAAAAAAGATTATCAGTAAGTATTTTAGAACTTTGTGCTTTAGGAGATTACTTCCTTCAGTGAGTTTGAATGTATATTATTTTTAACGCATTATTATACTTATATGCTGCATTATACTATGTATATTATTTATGTGTATATTTATATGTGTATGTTACACTTTGGATATCTGTAACATTAAACTTCACTTAAAATTTTAAACTTACCGAAAAAGTAGAAGACGTAAGTCCAATTCATATAATAGCAAATTATTCCAGAAAGAGGAAGAGAAATCACGGTTCCAAGCTGTGCTCCTAGAGCAACACAAAAGACTTTTAAGTTCTTAGGAGAGATGAGCAAGGGCAGGATAGTTCTACAGCTTAAAGAAGGATAACAGATGTTAAAGAAGGAACCCCTGAAACACAAAGGGATTGACTTAGTCACACACAAATATAAACAACCCATTCTCTGAAGGGGCTGCTTACACAAAACTTAAGCTACATAAAAGATATACATGAATATGTGATTATGCTAGTTACAACCATGTAGTTATTGAAAAATTAGGAGGAATCATGCAGGGGCCAGCACATAGCAAGCTAAGCCTCTGCCTGCATCTAAAAAAAAAAAAAAAGTTGTATTTTATTTTTATTAGAAAGTCAGATATTCAAAGAGAAGAGACAGACAGGAAGATCTTTCGTCCGCTGGTTCACTCCCCAAGTCGCTACAACGGCTGGAGCTGAGCCAATCTGAAGGTAAGAGCCAGGAGCCTCTTCCAGGTCTCCCATGCAGGTGCAGGGTCCCAAGGCTTTGGGCCAGCTTGACTGTTTTCCCAGGCCACAAGCAGGGAGCTTGGATGGAATGCGGAGCAGCTGGGATTAGAACCAGTGTCCATATGGGATCCTCGCACACTCAAGGTGAGGACTTCAACCACTAGGCCACCTTGCCGGGTCCAGAGCCTGCACCTAATATGAGTGCTGGTTCATGTCCTGGCCAGACTCTAGATACAAGGGATTAAGCCAGGTGTAATCAAATGGTGAAGACCAAATAATCTTGACCCTTTGTTGAAGGGGCCTGCACTTTATTCCCTAGGTAAAGAGGAACCATAAATAGTATCTGTTGGTGACTTAATCATCAGATTTTTCCAGCCAATCTCCATTAAGCTATAAGAATGACCTTTTACAAATACAAACTGGTCATGTCTCTTGGTTAAAAACCCTTGATGTCTCCCTATTGTATATTGGGGGGGAGGATCTACATTCCTTCCTGTAGCTTGTAATGCCCGATACAATCTTGCTTGTCTAGTTTTCTAACTTCATTTTACCCAGTTGTCCTCTTTATTCATTTACGTTCTAGCCACCCACAGTGGTTTTTCATCTCTTTTAATGCTTTACTTCCTCCCTGAGGGCCCTTGAACATGCTGTTCTGATTGGCTGGAATGTACTTCTTTTTTCTTTGGCTGGCCAGCTTGTTCTTACTTTTCAGAGTTTAGCTTACAAATCATCACAGAAAGGCCTTAACCCTTAACCCTTAACCCATCACCATATTTGAAATCAGTCAAGTTGAAAAATTTCCTTCTCCTCCTTTTCCTTTTTTTTTTTTTTTAAGATTTATTTATTTTTATTGGAAAGGCGGATATACAGAGAGGAGGAAAGACAGACAGGAAGATCTTCCATGCGATGATTCACTCCCCAGGTGACCACAACGGCTGGAGCTGAGCCAATCTGAAGTCAGGAGCCAGGGGCTCCTTCAGGTCTCCCACGCGGGTGCAGGGTCCCAAGGTTTTGGGCCGTCCTTGACTGCTTTCCCAGGCCACAAGCAGGGAACTGGATGGGAAGCAGGGCTGCCAGGACCTGAACCAGTGACCACATGGGATCCTGCTGTGTGCAAGGTGAGGACTTTAAACACTACTTTCTCGCGCTGGGTCCTTGATTTCAACTGCCTCCTTCCTTCCCTATTTGCCCTCACTTTTTTTTTTTTTTTAAAGATTTATTTTGTTTATTTGAATGGCAGAGTTACAGAAGAAGTAGAGGGAAGAAGGGAAGGGAGGGGGAGGAGGGAAGGGAGAGGGAGAGGGAGAGAGAGAGGGAGAGACAGAGAGACTGAGAGACTGTTCTATTGCTAGCTCATTCTCCAAATGGCTGCAATGGCCAGGCCTGGCCAGGCTGAAGCCAGAAGCCTGGAACTTCTTTCAGGTCTCCCAGATGGGTTCAGGGGCCCAAGCACCTGGGCCATCTTCCACTGCTTTCCCAGGCACATTACCAGGAAGCTGGATCAGAAGTGGAGCAGGTGAGTCTTGAACTAGTGCCCATATGGGATGCCTGCATTGCAGACAAAGGCTTACCCGAAACAGCACAGCACCAGGCCCCTCTCCTCCTTCTCCTTCCCCTTTGAAACTATTTATTCACTTGAAAAGCAGAGTTATACAGGGAGAGGGAGACAGAGTGATAGAGATCTTCCATTAACCGATTTACTTCTCAAATGGCTGCAGTGGCCAAGCCTGGGCCAGGCTGCAGCCAGGAGCCCGGCACTCCATCTGGAACTTGTATATGGGTGAAAGGGGCCCAAGTACTTGAGCTAGCACCTGCTCTTCCTCAGGTGCATTAACAAGGAGCCTGATTAGAAGTAGAGCAACTAGGACTTGTATCAACATCCATAAAGGACACTGGCGTCACAGGCGGTGGCTCAAACCACTGTGCCACAATGCTGGTCCCAAGATAAAAATTTTTCAGTCAATGGAAGATAGTCTAGAAAACATGCAATCTGGTAAAATTATAACTTAAATATATAAAACTTATGTCATTTCACCTGTGGGTAAAATGATAACAAATAAATGCATAGAAAAAAGATGTATGAAGAAAGTGGCTGAGAGTCATGATATGGTCACTATACAAAGTAGAAACTGCAATTAGATATGCAGAGTTTAGCTTAGTGGTTAAATTGCTGCCTCTTTTGGACTCAGCTTTGTGGTGTATCAAAGTGAGATACCACCTGTGATTCCAGCATCCCATATGGGTGTGCTATGGAAGTACTGGCTGCTTCACTTCCAATCCATCTCCTTGCTAATGTGCCTAGCAAGCAGAGCACAATGGTCTAAGTCCTTGAGATCCTGCCGCCCAAGTGGGACACCTGGATGGAACTTCTGGCTAGTGGCTTCACAGGCTCAGTCCTGGCCACGCCACTCTGGGCAGTGAATGAGTGGATGGAAGATTCTCTAACTCTGTTTTGTAAAATAAATAAATAGATTAAAACACACACACACACAAAACAACCTGCATGTCCATGCTGCAGTGCCTTGGCTGGCCACCCCACAACAGCTCCCTGTCAAGGCAGACCCTGGCAGGCAGCGGTGATGACTCAAGGGCCTGGGTTGCTGCCAACCACAGGGGAGACCCAGACTGTCAGGCTTCCGCGTCAGCCTCAGCCCTGTCTGGGCCACTGAAAGCACCTGCAGAGTAAACCCGTGGGAAACTCTCTCTAGCTGTGTTACAAAGGAATAAGTAAAATTAACAAGAAAAAGATTCACAATTAAAGGTTACTCTCGCTTCAGTCTTAGTATATGCGCTGCCGAAGCGAGCACTAAAGGATATTCTCTATTCCAGCATTTAAAGATGTAACATACTTACTTTAAAATAAACTATGGCACATGAAGAAAATGACACCAGTCCATTAGGACACCTTACAATATGCTGTTATATAAAAAGAAACATAAAATAATACAGTTTTACCCAGCCAAGTCTGATTTATCCTAAAAGAGAAGAATGTGACAGGCAGGCAGTTCCTCCTCAAGCCTGATGAATGTGCAATGAAACTTTTAGTAAGAACAGCTAACTCACCTGCATAGGAAATGCTCAGGAGCTTGCTTCTTTCAAGAGGGGGAGCCCAAGAAGACCACATGGCATGCATAGCTGGAAAGGTAACGCCCTTGACGGGGAAAGGATATTTCTGGTAAACTACAAGACAGATTCTTAAAATGCTTTTAAAAAAAGTATTTATTTTTGAAAAGTAGATTTACTGTCAGAGGAGAGACAGAGAGCTCTTCCATCTGCTTGTTCACTCCCCAAATAGCTGCAAAGGCAGGAGCTGGGCTAGTCTAAAGCCTGGAGCTTGGAGCTTCTTCTGAGCTCCCATGTGTATGCAAGGGCCTGTGGACCTGAACCATCCTCTGCTGTTTTCCCAGGCCAGAAGTAGAGAGCTGGATTCAGAGTAGAGCAGTCAGGACTCAAACTAGTGCCCAAATAGAATGCTGGCACTGCAGACTGAAGCTTAACGTGAAATGCCACAGTATCCTTCCCTAATATTTTAAATTAAGGATTTTGTTGCAACAGAATTTTCTGAACAAAACTTGCATCTACGGGTGGAAGAGCTGAGCTGCCACTTGGGACAGCTGCATCCCATACGAAGTGGTTGGGATAGAGTCCTATCTTCGTTTCCACTTCCCATCCAATTTCAGCTGGTGAGCATGGGGTGGGGGTGGCAATTAATGATGGTTCAAGTATGGAATTCCTGCCACACATGTGAGAGACCGGATGGAGTTCTGCACCCCAGGTTTTAGCTTGACCTAGTCCCCGCAGAGTTATGGGCATCTGGGGGAGTCAATCAGTGAATGGAAGATGTTTCTTTCTGTCTCTCCTCTTTGTAAATCTTTCTAGCAAAAATAAATCTTCTAAAAAAGATAATTGTTTATTAAAAAATAAAATACTTATGAATTAAGTTAAATAATTTTTTCAAGAAAATGAATCACACCAAAATTAGATAGTCACACATTTGGGAACCAGTTGAAGTACTGCAAGGCAAGTGTTACAGTCAATTTACGGCACGCCAGAGGGCACGTGAGGGCTGAGCTGCCACCTGCAGCAGTGGCATTCCACGTTCGGGGCACCAGGTAGGTACCGGCTCCTCTGCTTCTGATCCAGCTCTCTACTTGTGGCCTGCGAGAGCAGTGGGGGACAGACCAGGAGCTCAGGCTCCTGTCACCCGAAAGGGAGAATAGATGGAGTTAAGGTTTCCGGCTTCAGCCTGCAGCTATGTTGGTTGCTGCAGCAATCTGGGGAATTAACCAGCAGACAGAAGATATCTCTTTTACTTTTTCTCTCTGTCTCCCTCGCTGTCACTCTGCCTTTCCAAATAAATATAAACAAATAAATAAAGATATTTTAAGTAAGAATATACCGCTACATGATGATAATGGGAATCACTTTCAAGGCTAATTGTACTCATTCTTTTTTATTAATGGCCTACATGACAGGGAAATGTTACCAATTCAAAACTTTTAAAAATACTTTACCACTTGGGATATTGAAAGAAAACTAAAACTGACTTTTTCTATGGGAAAAATTATCTTATAAAAAAAGACATGAATTGAATTACAGTGTGTATAGTCTTTTTTCCTAAAGATTTAACTCTTTTTCGGCCTGGCAGCATGGCCTAGCTGCTAAAGTCCTCACCTTGAACCAGATCCCATATGGGCACTGGTTCTAATCCTGGCGGCTCCACTTCCCTTCCAGCTCCCTGCTTGTGGCCTGGGAAAGCAGTCGAGGATGGCCCAAAGCTTTGGGACCCTGCACCTGCGTGGAAGACCCGGAAGAGGCTCCTGGCTCCTGGCTTCGGATTGGCATAGCATCGGCCGTTGCGCTCACTTGGGGAGTGAATCATTGGATGGAAGATCTTCCTCTCTGTCTCTCCTGCTCTCTGTATATCTGACTTTCCAATAAAAATAATAAATCTTAAAAAAAAAAAAAAGATTTAACTCTTTTAATCAATGTCCACTGAATATTTAATAGGAGGAAAAAACACAATAATTCTATAAACAACATGAACAATTATAAAAACATGAAACTAAATTGAGGTAGTTATATAAAATCATAGATTTGTGAGTTACAACACTAGAAAAAAAAGTATAAATGATAAACAAGGAATTCCATGGGCCTGGTGTTGTGGTGGAGCCAGATAAACTGTCACTTGTGCCATCGTCTGACATAAGCGCAGGTTCAAGTCCTGGCTGTTCCATTTCTGCTTCAGGTCCCTGCAAATGTACTTGGGAAGCAGCAGCAGATGGCCCAAGTACTTGCGCCCCTACAGTCACATGGCAGACCTGGAGCTCCTGACTCCTGGCTTCAGCCTAACCCAGTCCTTGCCATTGTGGCCATTTGAGGGTGAACTAGCAGTTGCAAGATATCTCTCACTCTCCCTCTCTCTCTGCCTCTGTCTCTTGTTAATTCTGCTTTTTGAATGAATACTTTTTTGTTTAAGAGTTTGATGAATAACATCATATTTAAAAGTGAGACACGGAGCATGTATTTGGTGCAATGGTCGAGGCACCAACAGGATACCCACACCCCATACGAGAGCACCTGGGTTTGAGATCTGGCTCCAGTCCTGATTCCAGTTTCCAGCTAATGTGTACACTGGGAGGTAGCAGTGATGGCTCAAGGAGTTAAGTACTTGTCACTTGTGAAGAAAGACCTTCTCAATGTTTGGGTTTTGCTTGGCTAGATTCAGCAAGTATGGGCACTTGGAGAATGAACCCGTGCATGGGAGACAGAATATCTCTCTCTCCCCTGCTCTGTACCTTCCTATGTGCTGTCACATAAATAAAAATAAATTTTATGAAGTGACACAGACCAATGTCAGGGCCTATTTCATAAAATCTGTTTTAGATCTTGGCATTGATGATAGAGTAACAATATAAGAGTTTAAGGTAGTGCATCTTAACAATTTATGTAGTGGTCTATTTTGTTTTTATTTACCCGACAGGTAGATTTACAGAGAGAGAAGCAGAGAGAGAGAAACTTCTATCCACTGGTTTGCTCTAGTTGCAAAAGTCCAAACTGAGCTGATCTGAAGTCAAGAGGCAGGAGCTTCTTCTAGGTCTCCCATGTGAATGCAGGGGTTCTAGGCTTGACCCATTCTCTGCTGTTTTCCCAGGCTATAGGCCGGGAGCTGGATGGGAAGTGGAGCAGCTGGCACTCAAACTGGCACCCAAATGAACTGCTGGTGTTGCCAGGCAGAGGATTATCCTGATAAGCCTCTGTACCAGCCTTGGTGGTTTATTTTCTTATCTCCTACAGTTTGAGCTATGAAGACTCCCCTGGAAAACATTTTTCTGGTGTTTTTTTTTTTGGTATGTGTGTGTAAAGTTTCCAATTTTAAGGTGCTTTCCATGGAGACCTCATCCACTATCCAAGTTCTTTTCTAGTTAAAATCCTCTGTTATTAAAAATATAATTGCCATAACATTGCCTGGTGCTACATTTTGGTTCATATTCAAAACAAATAATGGTATCTTTAACCACTTGCGCCACCACGCCGGGCCCCAAATAATGGTATCTTTAATAAGAAAACAAAGTGATACAGTATAAGAAGTAAACAAAGAGTAAAAAATTGGCTCTCAGTTATTTGCTAAGATGCTAACTTAGTCTAACGTGTATTTCTTTTCATTAAACTTTATTTCAATATTCACTTGAAAAAGAAAAATTATCTTCAACACAGAGAAATGAAACATAATAAATATTTCAATGATAGTGATCTGATCTTTACACACTGTATTTACATTGTACTGACACATGACATATAATCGCTCCATATAATCGCTCCATGTCAAGTAAAAAATGCATACACAAAAATTTGAACAATTACCTCTCCTAGTCCTTCCAGCGCTCTGAGCACAATGAGAGCTCCAACTCCCAAGTCTGCAGCGAGTGGAGTGAACAGGGTGAAGACAGCGGTGCCCAGGATGCCCACTCCCAGGAGCAGTTTCCCCCCGACTTTGCTGGCCATGTAGCCCCCGGGGATCTGTGTGATAATGTAGCCGTAGAAAAAAGAGCCGAGGATCCATCCTTGAGTTTCTGCATCCCACTGATACTTTTTACCCTATAAAAAAATAATAAAAAAACCTATAAAAACAAACCAAAACAAAAATCCTTTAAGGCCTGAACTGAAACAGCTCCTTTCTCCTGACATGCAAGTTCCTGTAGATGAAATTCTGAACAAATGCTTTGCACTATGTCATCTTCCTAGGAGGTGCGCAGGTGATCCCATTAAAGACAAGGCACTCCCAGAAGTGCATGGGAAAGAACTGGAAGTATATATTTGAAAGGGCTTGCTGTGGAAAACTCAATTCAAACAAATAACACACACTCATCAACTGCCCTGTAATATAAGGGAAGTGAAATGCCTTGAGTGGCTTAAGTTAGATCTGTATAAATTTTGGAAAATAATCCCCTATGAGATTGACCAGTTCTTATTTTTCATCCTGCAGCTGAGCTTTCTCACATTCTCCTGCAAGGAGAAACTTATGAATGAAAGAATTCTTGCAAGTCTTATCAAAACCATTTAGCAACACTTGAAGCAACACAATCTTCTGATAAGCCAAATTCTTACAAGTTGTCTTCAAGGTTGGTAAGCTGGTGAGAAAACTGAAGAACTGCTTTGTGAACACAGCATAGTGTCTCATGACAAAGTTACAATTGTTTTTGTTCAATAGTTGAAAAGTACAAAAAGAAACTGATTTGAAGCAAACATAAAGACATGCTTGTGGTTTTTGTAGGATGAACAAAGACCTTTCAGTATTTTTCCTTGCAAGTATTTTAAGGTTAAAAAATACTACCTACCGTTTGACTACGAGGAACATTGATGGGAGCAGAATGCTCTGCACACTCCTGGGAAGTCCTATTAGCTGCTAAGGTTGTATTTGAATCTACCATATCCACTAATGCGACACTCAAATTCACACGTAATGCATAGAGAACGAAGAAACCAAAAAAGGCCAAAATTGCTAAATTGTAACGAGCAGAGCAGCACACTGGAGCTGAAATAAAAATGGAAGGAAAATCTTAATTAAAAGGATAAATAAGGCACAGTCTAAATCATGATAAGGCTTATTTCTTAAGAAATACACAAATTTATAATCATGAATATTCTTCTAGTAATGTTCTTGGATTAAACACACCTAAAGACATTTATCAAACAGAATTGGCTCCCAGGGCAATCTTAGTCTTGGTAAAAATTGGTCAAATACGGGCTGAACTGTAAGCCAGCTCATTAAAACACAGAGGCAGAGGAAGACAAGCGGCTAAGTCAACAAATACAACTAAGCAAGGGAATACCGCAGAGCAACCCCCTCAGTTAGATCAGAATAAATCTTGGGAAATAAAAAAACGACTTTATCACTTTTTTAGACTAAAAAAAAGTCTGCATTCCATAGTCAAAATGAACTCTAAGTCCCAATCAGAGTTAGCACGGGGACTTGAACGGCATCGCTATTGCTGGAAGGCTACATAAACATGGTACATTCTTGAATATTTTCAAGTGCACAACACATCTACCACTGACTAGGGGTTGGAAGCCAGCTCTTTGTAAAGGCAGCGTGGCCGCCTTGATCACCAGGTGAGAGCCAGAAAGCCCTCTGGAGAGAGTTCTTACCTCGAAGAGCGTCCTCAGAGGCTGGGTTGAAATCAGAAGCCATGATTAATACCTAAAGGCTCTTGTAAACTAAATGTATTTTAGAATCCAGAAGCACACTTGCAGAATCTGACAGTTGCAGCATCTGCGACAGTTATTCAGTTGTTATCATGCTTAAAGGGCCCACAGTCAAAGGAAGTAAGTGAAAGCAGCAAAAACGATAAAAAAAGAGAGAGAGAAAAAAAAAGACAGACGGCAGGATTGTTTGGAGGAGCCAATGAAAGAAAGATTATGTGAGAGGAGGAGTTTGAGCCATTTTTCAACTTTAATTAGAGGTATATGCACATTCTTTCTTCCCTTTCTTTTTCTGAGTTACAGAATTGAAGGCAGATGGATATTCAGAAAGCCAGCTAATTAGATGGGCTAATTCAGGGTCCAGTTTCCTTGAAGTCTGGCAAGCATTGAATATTTGATATAGATATCTAGGCATGTAGATATATTTCATTAATGTAAAAATATTACATTAAAATCAAATATGTATAAATGAAAATATGCATGCTGTTATTTGACAACAACATATTAATATTACACAGATGCATGTGTTCCTCCTACTCAGGAATTCTCTTGCTTTCACTGATTTAATCTCCAGCAAAAATACATGTTCTAGAGCAAAAGGGTCTTGGTACTGATTTAGACTAAAAGACTCATGATTATGAATATGGCACAACTAAGGCAATGTTAATACACCACGACCCATCACATACTCCAACGCCATCAAGGTTTTCTCCATGCAAGACTTACATGTTTAAGCACAGCACTTATCACCTGGCATTTTTCCCCCCATTTCTTTTCCGGGGTTGGGGGGAAGGAATGAGGGAGGAAGAGCAGTAGGGCTGGGAGCCAGGGAGGAAAGGGATGCGGGGAGCGTGGGGAGTGGTGAGGGATCAGTCTGGGGAGTCTCATCTGGCATTCTTGAATCTAGTTTTCAGGGTATAGCTATTACAATGATGGCACCACCACCACCACCATGGTTAGATTCAATTCTATGTGAAGTGTTTTTCTATGACTCCAAACACATGGCTTCTGTTATATGAATTTAGATGATTTTGCTCTCTGCATCAGCCAGCTGGACATCCATCCAGTCAAGGCCAGTTCGGCTTTTGTAAGGCATGCTCTGCAGGGGCATGTTTCCTTTACCATCATCCTTCCAGGCAATATTTACACTACATGAAGTCTGGATGGTTGGGGTGAGGAATTATAACCCTGCCAACTTCAAGCAATTAAAATGTTAAACAGCTTATGCAATTGCCAGGTGAGGGCTGCTAAGGGAAGTGTGACCAGATCTGGGGGAAGTAAAGGAGACCTCTTAAGGTGCTGTTGCAGCTTTCCAAGCATAAGGTGAAGGCAGTTTAAACTAGGTGGAAAGCAGAAGGCAATGGAGAGAAATGCGCAGATATTATATGAGTTTATAAAGTAGAATGAATAAGCCTTGCCTAAATGTTAGAGGTGGGTGTAAGTGAATGGGTGAGATATCAGTAATTTTCTTACCTTAAGCAACTTTATTATATGTTCTTAAGACTTGCTACATTATTCTCTGCTTCATCCTCATATGCAGTTACCTTCTTTTACTGTGCATCATTTATTTTCCCTCAAGTGCTATTTCATTTTGAGTATAACATATCTTACCACATGTGTTAAGATGCGGTGTTAAATTGGAGGACTGAAAGAAAGGCTAGTAAAGTGATTTTTAAAAACGTATTTAGAAAGGCAGAGCTACAGAGAAAGTGGGAGAGACTGAGGCCTTTCATCTGCTGGTCATTCCTGAAGTAGCCACAATGGCCAGGGCTATGCCAGATTGAAGCCAGGAGTCGGGAATTTCACCTGGATTTTCTATGTGGATGGCATGAGCCCAAGGGCTTGGGCCATCTTCTGCCAGTTTTTCCCAGGCCATTGGCAGGCAGCTGGATTGGAAGTGTAGTAGCTAGGAAAAGAACGGCACCCGTACGGAATACTGGTATTGCAGGAGGCAGGTTTACATATTATACCACAATGCCATTCCCAAAATATGATTTCAGATTAGCAGCAGCATTACTTGAAGAATGGTATACAAGTTATGAACCAGGCAATTTTGCCTCTTGGGGAACCAATCAATAGTCAGAAAACACAAACCCAACACAGATGTTGTATGATACATATATAATTATGATCTTTCACGAAGCATTAAAAATGTTGGTTAGAGGCTGTGCTGGGCAGAGCAAGTTGAGCTACTGCTGCTACACTGGCATCTCCTACCAGCACTAGGCCAAGTCCTGGATACTCTGCTCCACCCCAGCTCCTTGCTAATGTGTTTGAGAAAGCAGCGGAAGATGGCCCAGCACTTGGGCCTTTGCCATGGATGTGGGAGACCCAGATGGATTTCCAGTCTCATGTTTTCAACCTGATTCATCTCCAGCTGTTGCTGTCATTTGGGGAGTGAAGTAACAGTACCTCTGTCACTCTTGTAACAAAACAAGTCAATCTTTTTTAAAAAGAGAGATGAGGGTCTGGTGCCATGGCCCAGTGGTTAAATCCCCACCTTGTACATACCGAGATCGCTTATGGGCACTGGTTCATGTCCCAGCTGTTCCACTTCCCATCCAGCTCCCTGCCTATGGCCTGGGAAAGCAGTAGAGGATGGCCCAAAGCCTTAGGGACCCTGCACCTATGTGGGAGACCTGAAGAAGCTCCTAGCTTGTGGCTCCTGGCTTTGGATCAGCTTAGCTCTGGCTGTTGTGGCCCTTGGGGAGTGAATCAGAAGACAGTTCTTTCTCCCTGTCTCTCCTTTCCTCGGTAAATCTGACTTTTCAAGGGAAATAAATAAATCTTGAAAAAAAAATCTGAAAAAAAGAGAGATGATTGTTGGTTATAAATCTATTCAGCCAGAAAGTTGCGTTTCAAGAAAATATGGTGGTAGAGCAAAATGTGCCCATAAATTTGGAATAACTTGACATGAATCCAACAAAAGCATGCTTGTGTGACAAAGAGGAAGAACATCCACTGAGCATCTACCACACTGAAATTGAGTTCAAAGCAAAATCATGCTTCCATAACGAACAGAGAACTCATCAAAATAAATATCAGCCTCTAAAGTATGGCTTACACTTAGGAATGTGGAGTGGGTGTAACTGAAAGAACACAGGCTAATTTAGAATGAAGCCAACGTGGGAAATGTGTCTCAGGTCTGTTTACAGTGTCTGTGGGCATTGTAGGAGTCATTTAACTAAGTTTCCATCCTTAGGGTTTCTTAGCTCCAGAATAAGGGTACTACTGACTACCACAATGGACTGTGTGGGAATGAAATGAAATAACCATTGGCCGTTATACAGGCACTAAGCAGAAGTGAGTTCCTTTACCTTTATTTTTTGTGCTTTGGAGAAAGTTATGTCAAAAGCTAAAATGCTGTGTCCATACAAATAAAAGGCTCAAGGAAGGTATATTGATCTGCTTGCAGGAGGGACACTGCCAGGCAGGAAAACAGTCAGGAGAAAGTGTATTGGATAAGTCTTCACAGTGGGCAGCAAGTTACTCTGCCCACGAAAGGGAGAGATCCAGGAGGAACAAAAGCAGCAACGTGTACAAAGGAAGGGATGTGAGAAAGTGTAGACCATTTACTACCAGAACTCTAAGAACTAACACATCTGAGTGGGATGGTGGGTATCAAGTTTAAAAACAAAGTAATAGGGCCCGGCGCGATGGCGCAGTGGTTAAAGTCCTCGCCTTGCACGCCCGGGATCCCATATGGGCGCTGGTTCTATCCCGGCAGCCCCGCTTCCCATCCAGCTCCCTGCCTGTGGCCTGGGAAAGCAGTCGAGGACGGCCCAAAGCTTTGGGACCCTGCACCCGCGTGGGAGACCCGGAAGAGGCTCCTGGCTTCGGATCGGCATAGCATTGGCCGTTGCACTCACTTGGGGAGTGAATCATCGGATGGAAGATCTTCCTCTCTGTCTCTCCTCTCTGTATATCCGCCTTTCCAATAAAAAAATAATAAAAATAAATCTTTAAAAAAAAAAAACCAAAGTAATAACAAATGTTTATTGACTACCTACTCTAAGGTTGGTACAGGTGTGTTTTGCCTGTATTAGGGTTATAAGAATTAACTGGTTGACACTTGTAAAATACCCCAAAACATTCCATAGCAAATAGTAAGCTTCAGTAGTATGTTGATAATACTGTGGCTTTTCAGAACTGAGATTATTTGTTAGGAACTGAGATTATTTCTCAATTGTAAGACATCAGGATTTGTGGGATGTGTGGTTTCGAGGGAAGCATACAAGATGGCCGAGTGGGAGCACTGCGCCTGGAGTGCGACCTGGAGCAGTGCACGTCTGTGCTCAGTGGTGGGTGCTGAGAAAGCAGGGGTGTTGAGAC